TTTTAATACGAAATTTGAGCTTGATGTTTTTTGATAATTTCATTTATATTTGGTCATAAAAATGACAATGCTACTCTCATATCGCCTTCTACATTTAACAATCTTGATCTTTTTTTAGTTTTAATGTTGGCTAATGCTGAAAATCCGAATTCACACAAATAAGATGTGGAAATTGTAATAATATGTTTAAAGCTTTTTTGTTTTACAAATTGTACAAATTTATAAATTGACATTACATGCAAATAAATTAATATTAAACCGAATCACATACATTTGCCAATTTTAACGAAAGAAAAGGTGCAGTAACTACTATGCAACACCTTGTGAATCCCAACTATCACTAAAACAACACGTTTTGTACGCAGAAGTGGCAAGTGTGCGCCGACTTGAGACATATTCCTATTGCTATGCACACCGCTTCATCATAATTTGGCACTAAGAAAAAACGCGTTGCAAAGCAAATAATAAAATAATTTATTGTTTGTGGATTTAAATATATATTCATGTTAAAAATATTTTTCTTTTTAAATGATATAATTAATTAATATTAACATTTGGCACAATTTGGCGGCACACTTTTGAAATTTGATGGCACACAAAAGTGCCGCGGCACAGTGGTTGAGAATCACTGGGTTAGAACATAAAAAATATATAATGATTTAAATTAATCGCTATAATTGTCTAATCAATTTTCGAATCATAATTCATAGATCACTTCCTATCACTGAGACCACAACACTGTTTTTTATTTGTGATACAGTGGTAACCCATCAACATCGTTGTAGTCTTTATCTAATTAATATTCAGAGTATAAAAGTTGTTATCGCATTATTTAATAATTATTGAGGCGTCTGTAGGGTAATATGTCATCGTAAAGTCCCGTAAATTGCCAATGCGCTGGAATCTTGTCTAAATAACATCCGCGTGACGTCATATGAAAATAGAAAGTACAGATAGCACAAAAGGCGGAAGATAAATTATTTATTAATTATTGAAATATTTATGAATTATCCCCAAAATATTATTACAATAATTTAACAACTTTTAGATTGTTAATTTATTGCATGGATTTTTGGAAAAGAATCAATTTATATGTAAATATTGAGGTATACATTTTCATTGTATTAACGCGATAAAAACGGAAAGGATATTATTTAAAACATAACCAAAAGTAATAATAAAGTGGGAGACAATAGATATATTTATTATAAGTGAAATTATATTTACTTATTGTGAAAATCATAATCACAGTTGCTATTTTAGTCAACCTTATCAATTAATAATAAAACAATCGAAACCAACAAAAACATAACAAAAATGATGTGTGGGTCTCGACACAACCCAACTCAATAAGGGGCTGTCCATTAATCACGTGAGGCTCGAAAGGGGGGGGAGGGGTCCATAAAAAAGTCACGAAATATCATAAGGGGGGAGGGGGGGTGAAGTAACATATCACGTGTATTTATTTTTTCGACAAACGCGCGATACTCAACCGAAAAGCGGCGTAAATAAGTGTAATAAAATTATTTTTTCGTCAAACATTCATTAAATAATAATATTCATAAAGTTTTTCGCATTCCTTTCATTATTTTTGTCAATCAAAAACAACCTGCAAGTCGTGTAATCTTTCTGTCTACCTTTAGACATTATTGTACTCTTTAATTGTCTATAATACAATTACAAAATTAAGATTCATTGTAAGTACTAAAAATACACGTGATATATGGGGAGGGGGGGGGGGGGATTAGTCTTAAACCTCACCATGTATCACTTTGGGGGAGGGGAGGTTAAAAAATGCCAAAAAAAACATCACGTGATTAATGGACGGCCCCTAAGTGTACTCATCAAGCAGTGTTTATTTGTTAACGGTACTGATTTTTGAATGCAATTACGTCACCAAAATGGTGACCAGGCGCATTAGCAATTTGCGGGGATTATACTCGTACTATTTAATAATCATTAAGGCGTGTGTAGGGAAATAAGTCATCACCAAGTAACGCTCTACTTCTACGTAGCGCGACGTCTACTTTAGTATTTTTCAATCGTTCGCCATCCTACAGGCCAATATGACTCGAAATATTGAATTATGTTCTTCGTATTGTATAGAAAATATTTTTTTACCATATAAGACATAATAACGTTATTTATTTCATGTTTAAACCTTTATTCTATCACTCGCGTACAATGATCGGATAAACGACGAGTGGTTCATAGTAAACCACTCGTTGCAGTAGAACGAATTAGAAATGGCGAGTGATTCAAAATAGAGATCAAGATGGCGGTTGTTGATTACTTTTTAAGAGTACAACACGCTCATGAGCGCTCGTACTATGTCACAATTTTGTTAATGTGTAATCTTTAATTATTTATTTGATCCACATTGTCATCTAGGATATCATCGCGCCTTTCTCTATATTGCCCTCAAACATTGGTGCAAATTGAAAAAAAAAAAACAAGAAAATTTTCTCTTCCAATTTTCGGTCAAGTTCTGACCGAACGTTTGTCTGGCGCCTTTTTCCGTCGCTAAGAACAGAGCCGGATCTAGAGGGTCAATATCAAATCGGAGCGAGAAAAATAGCCTGTTGCCTATCGCCTCGATGATTCCGGATGTAGTCGAGTGCCAGATATAGCTTAACCCTTGCGCGATTATCGTTTGCATTTTGCGATCCTAAAAAACTGCTGAAATATCATATTGAACATTTTACTAACATGGTGAACAGTTTTCTGTTTATACTTGAATTTTGAAACTCATTTTTCGTTATAGATATTCGGAATATGGCACCTGGATCACTGATTGTAATGTACCAGTATAATATTGTAATCTTTGGTAATGTATAACTGTGATTATTTAATATAAGTATTTGAATTAGGGATGAGCGGAGTATTCGTGTGTTAAACGATATTCGGTATACTCGGCAAATTTCAATTCGGCAATTTCAAATTTTCGAATAACGTTGCTCTGAATTTGAACAACGTTATTCGAACGAGTGCTGCACTCTTAAAATTGATGATTAACGTATGTTGGATTTAGAACTAGTCTGTCCAGCAGGCTAACTCTAATGTTATAATATAATTTCATTAAAACTCGTTCGAATGATGTTGTTCAAATTCAGAGCTTGCACTCTTAAAATTGATGATTAACGTATGTTGGATTTAGAACTAGTCTGTCCAGCAGGCTAACTCTAATATTTACGTAATAATCGCATCTCAATAGAATCTCAACTTGCATATTACTATGTTTTATATACCTGAAGTCTAATATTAGTTTATGTATATCTACTGTCACAATTGATGTATGAGGAATACATTGTACTGATAATATTGGACTTTAGGTTAAACTGCGGTAAAATGTAAGTCGTGTTACATGTTTTATTATTCAGTGAAGAGGAACAGAGCGTCATAAAGTTGGAGGTGTATCGAAAGTTGGTTTTAAGGGTACGGTCTCGGTAGTATTCCTTGAATTACTTATAAGTAAAGACACCTTATTTGTATACCGTAATCAGTAACCGAGAATTTACTCTGTACATCTCTAATTTGAATGTGAATAATACGTGTACCTAGAATGTTGCAATTATGAATTTTAATGGATTATTAATTGTACAATTTATTTGCAGCTTTAATAAGTTTAATGTATTTGTTATACGTTTTTATTTATCGATGTTTAAGTATTTAAAAAATCTTTACAAATTATATGCATAAGTAATAGATTTGTATCCTTAAGAAAATGGCAATTCTACAAAACAGATGCAGTAAAATATACTAACGCTATTTATTAGAAACCAATATAAACAAAACTTATGTTAATATTTTAGAAATGTGTCTTTCTACTTTACTTTGATTATTTAATATAATTCGCTACTTTACTTTTTGTTTCTTAAATTTGATACTAACAATAACAACCGATGTATAGTTTTTGTCATTCAGAGTATTGTGCCGAGCTAATATAAGTACTTACACATGTAATTGAAAAGATAGTAGGTTATAGATAGTGCAAGCCACAGTCACCTTTCGATTTTTTCTTACTAAAGGCTTGTGCAGTCCTCAGATTTATTTTTTGCTCGTCAAAATAAAATTAAGATACCTTACAATTGTATTGATGTGCAACTCACAACCGACAATGACTTCGGTTTTAACCTCACGCACTCTGGTTACATTACAAGGTTACTTTGAAGTTGAGACTGAGAGATGTCAAGTGTGGTCTATTACAATGACGCAACTGTAGTGATCAACTGATGTTAAGACTACCATAGATAAATAACTTTAAAAAGTCATATTGGAAATTATATTTTCATACAATTAAAAATATTGTCGTAAACTTTATAAACGAGACGCACGTTATATTAATCAATATTATCTAAACGCCATCTTGCGTCAGTGTGAAGTAACTTGTAGTTTCCACACGACGTTAATAATGGTGTAAGTGCATGAAGATCACGTCTGTTTTGTAGAAAGGCCAATTATCTTTAGGCATTCATAGGTGGCCTAAGTTTAAATAAGTTAAGAAAATAAAATACAAAGCCTACATTTATTAATTGCTGTTAAAATACACACAACATTTTTTCTTCTATTATTTTAAGTTTCGTTGCGATTATTTAATAAATGTCGTTTAATGTATTAGAAACTTGTTAAAAAAAGATAATTATTGATAAATATATATTTTTGTTCAGTATTACTATTTTTTAAGAATTTACTCTGAACTTTCAAATATTACTATATTAAAACTATTGATGTATTTATTTAGAATGAAAAATACAAAATTATGACAAATCGTGATGGTGTTTTATATTTGATTATCTATATATGTATATTAAGTGAAGTCAAAGACTTAGGACTTTGGTTGCTTTACATTACAACCTTTTACAACCGCATGTGTGCATTAGTTCAGCAGCGCCCCCTTAGATTTCGAGATGAATTCTTGATTAATGTCACCAATTTAATTTTTATCTTCCTATGAGCAGACAGTAGACAGTATGTAGAAAATAAAAAAAGAAGGTTGTTTTAAAATGATTTATTCATAACAAAACAAATATTACCGGTAGGATAACCCAATACATACCATCTACCAACGTCTATAAAATGATATATTGATGATTCTTTAAGAAAATACACACTTCATCATGTATAACACCCCTATTTCTCCCCATAATTCTATAATAAACACAAATATTACAAACTAATAAGTTTTCCTCCTATTTCATTACACAGTCGCACACTATAAAATTGTGTAACATTTGATATCATATAAAAAGAGCACAGAGTTCTCAATAATTATTATGCAAGTAAAAAAGTTTTATTATAAGGCAGGTTGTAATACGTATTTCCAGAAACGTCTAACCATATTATAGATGATATTGCTTCTAAATAGTATGTTCAACCTCTGTCCATAATTTATATAGGGTGCGACAAAATACTAATACATCAGTCACTGAAGGATGAGAACACACGACTATAAAGTTTTTATAGATCTTTTCTAATGTCAACAGAAGGTTTCACCGAGTGCTTTTTTTAATAATAAGAGTTCATACTCTGACTCAGTCACAGCAGAACCGCGCGACGTCACAAGTCTATATCTTTAAGACATGCCCACCACCTGGCATATTTCTGCTCGTCTATAAACACACTAAATTATTAAAAAACGAGATAGAAAAATAAATGCCACTTTCACATTATATTGAGCTAAATTCGAGTACACAATTTGAGCGTAAAAGAAGAAAAAATATATAAAAAATAAACTAGACTTGAATGTTACCATTACACATAAGTAACATGTAGAAATATAAAAATAGTACACACGGCTACATGTTAGGTTACCACAATATGTCAAATTCCCATTATGAATCATGTACTCTAACCACAATACATTAAGATTTAAAATCAAGTAGAGAAATTAGACAGTTTTGTATAACCTTAAGTGGTGTTCGCTGGACATTTTACACATTTTTGAATGTAGACTATCCATACAATTATCAAAATTAACATCATAAAATGGAATGAATTATTACATACAACAGACTTAATTCAATAAAAATCAATTGATAATTGCTAACCTGTCAACAAAAAAACAATGAATTTTAAATGTAATTTCAGTTGATTATTACAACATACTAACATTTTCATTAATATATTATGATACTAATTAATCATTCAAATCGTCATCTTAGTTAATATTAATTACATTTCAAAAGCTACCTTATGATTATATAAATAAGGCTTTTTTCGTGTACTTCATTTATCGATTTTATTGTACAATTCAATTTGCATTTTGAGCCTTAATTATACAGTCTACGTTTTAATGTCAGTAATAATGTTCAATGATTTTCCTTGAATTACAAAATATGATAAATAATTGTATCAAAGATTACTCTCAACATCTAGTATTTTTCATTGGTTTCCCTGTTGATTTTTGTATTGAATATATTTTATTTTTAAATAAATATCTGCATAAACGGTTTCTAGAATTAATTATTATTTAAAATAGACTTTCCAAATATTATTATACATACAAATACTAAACCATAATATCTGGTTCTTTTATAGAAATTAATAATGCATAAAATAATTTAAATACAAGAAATAATTCGACATTTTTTTTATGTCATAATTATATCCAAAAGAAATTGTCAAACAAAAAAAAAACATTTTTTACAACCGATATAATTTTAGTTATATTAACTATAGCAACACTAGATTTTTTAATACTAGCAACGCTCTAATTTTGGTTGACAAATGGCGAATAAAAATATAACCTACAAATATATAACCGGAAAAACTTAAGACATATTTTTTTTTATTTGCATATTAACAACCTACTACTGTACTTTGTTTTACAGATTAGCACCACGTCTACTCTAAGTTACATAACAATAATAGAGCGAATGCAGTATAAAACCAACACATATAAGAGAATACTTGGATGGATGAACTGCGTATATGTTTACTTAGAATAATGTCTATTAATATATTAATATAAAGGCCCTATTCTTTAATCATTCGTTTAAAATTCCAAGCTGTAAAGACTTTAAGTCGTTCTTAACTCTTTAGTCGCATGACAATAAAGAATTTTATTCGTTTCACGCAGGAATCAAAACCGATAAATTACCGCAATCTATGCCGATTTTAGATGTATAAAAGTAATTTGTAAGATGTATAAAAGCATAAAAGTAATTGGTTTAAGCAGTTTCGTAACTACTTTGAGTCGAGCTTTGTTCTCTTATACCTCGAATATTGGCAGAACGTGTGCGTAAATCAGAATAAATCTATACGACATATAAAAAGTTGAATTTTTCGTTGACGTTTATGTTGAGAAGCCTATGCCCAGCAGTGGGCGTCGAACGACTAATGATGGTGATTTCGTTTTATTTCAATATAATTGTTAAATAAAGTCAGTGGGTATAAATGCTGAAAAAAAACATGCGTACTCGCTACGATTGCGACCTGTACGGATAAGGAATAACCTTCTAATGATTCAGACTAAAATGTTGATAAATTCGATATTGTGTTGAATAAGTTTATATTACTTCAATACTGTACATTTACTCTATTATACAACAGATCTAAAATATCCGAATTGTTTCTGAAATGAGAGATAATAAGTTTCACTGAATATTATTAACCTATAGATATTCAGAGATAATTTAACAGCCGGCGTTGCAAAGTTCTTCATAAAAATTTAATGGCATATAAATTTGAAAATGTGCTGGGACCAATACACAGAATATATTATTTAGCAATGGTTTTTAGAGCACTCATCAAATTAACTAGTAACCAAATTTTTTTTATGATGATAACAAACATTCGCACATGATGGGCACTAATTTTTTTGAATTACACACCGCGTGTAGGTTTTTTTGTTTAATTAATCCATTATTTTGACAATTTCATTGATTAAAATCTACCATGGTGCTAGCCCCCAAACCCGGCTGTCTTCAATCGAGAATAGATTCGTTATTTCTGAAAATGTAAATACAGAAAATGTGAATGACAGCAATTTTTATCTAATGAGAATTAATCTGAAAAGCTAATAGCACCTAGATGTCGCTAGTTACGTTAGACGTTATTAAACTAGTCACTTGGTCATAAAAATTCGCCTAACTAATATTCAGAGCCAATCATAGGATGTGTGACCAAAAAATTACCATTTCGAGCTACTCCGGACTTTGAAAGGCACGTTAAACCGTTGATACTGGTCACATTTGCAGTCGTTAATACCCCCCAATCCTTATTGAGCCAGCATGGAGGGTCATGGCCCATTCTCCTTAACGATCCAACTGAGCCCCTTCAGTGGGAACATAAGAGGGCTGTTGATGAATAATATTCAATTAGAGAATATTATTCTATAAAAAAAATGAATAACAATGAAAAGTTTATAACTTCGAAATAATGTTTTGTAAAACTTTATATTTATATTAGAAAGAGGCAAGATTTGATTGTTTCTTTGGCAAGTTTGTTAACAAAGGCCACAGAATATTTTCAAAAACATTAGGGATCCATAAGAAAACTTCAATACCAGAGGTTCAAGGCGGACTGCTATCGTTTCATAATTATAACATGACAGATGTCTGACCCGAATAGAGAACAATTTTTTTTTTATTAATCTAAAATTTACATGTTTTTATGTTAAATGAAAATAGGCAATATATACCTTATTGGTAACTATGTCGTGTTCTGTGGTGATTTAGGCACATCAGCCGCATCTGTTGGATCCTGAAAATGAATTAAGAAAAGAAACAATTTTAGAGAAACAATACCACAAATTTTTTATCATAAATAATTTCGAAAAACAAAAATGGATACACCAACAATTTTTCTGATTTCTTATTATGAAGTAAAAAGCACTATCAGAAAATGTGTCTTGAGAGACTATTTATTTTTCTCTTACATGTTTTTTTTTTTTCATATATATCTGGGCACTGACGTCAAAAAAATTGTTGGTGTATCCATTTTTTGTGTTTTGATATTATTTGAGATAAACGTTTTGTGGTATTATGTCTCTCTTTTCAATTGTTTCTCTTTATTACGACTTTTTGAGGTTGGTTCGTTTATTTTTTTTTTTAAATAGTTTTTTTGATAATAGTCTCTTTACTCTACGGGATATTGGTGGTATCGATGTATGTATGCACGTGTGCGTTCGAAAGCGTGTGTAGTTGTAGATGTAGAGTGACCAAAGGAGGGTTAACACTTTTGAATTTGCTTCTTGAGGCGTTGGAGTAGAGCGAGGTCTTCAAAATGTCTAATAGCGCACCGACGTTACGTACGTTTGTTTTAAAATAAGCGGATTTTGTACTGTTAAAAAAACCGTCAATTCAGGAAACTACAACGGTCATATATAATAAATTATTTATTGGTCCCTATGGTACAAACCTGGTCAAGGTCTAGGGTACCCGCGGGTCGTCCGTTATGGACGACGTCCCGCAGGGTATCGTCGTCGTCCTCATCAGTGTGTACGTCGTAAAATTCCTCACTATCCATTTCGTGATCCGTTCCTGTTACAACCAAAATGAAAAAATATAAAAACTTGGAGCATTTGCGAAATAACACTAGCTAGGAACGATAAAAAATACAGACATACAATGTCTTTTAGCGCCATTTTGTAATTAAAATTAAACTAGCGCCACCGTGACAAAGAAATATACTAAATTAATCATTTAACTAAGAAAGTTGCATTTCTGCTGAAAGAAGTATTTCTGCTGATTATTATGATTGATGGCTGACTAAATGAGTTGGAAAATGAAACACAACCATATATTCCAGCTGCATCTGCAGTTATTAACACCTACCAATTCGCATTGGGTGGTGAGGTGATGGAGGGGCCCGTTCTCCCTATTCGGTTCCAACCATAAGGAAGGCCTGTGCCCCAACAGGGGGAATATAAATGGCTGGTGATGATGATGATAATTACCTAAAACAGACTGGTAGTCAGTGAAGTATTCACTGTCAGATGCGTAGCTCTGTTCTGTAGCATCCACTGTATCACCAGCGGGCTTCACAGCTGCACGGACACGCTTTGCCTTTCGCTGTTTCAGACGAAGCTGTTGACTGGAACAGGAAAACTGGATATTATTCTTATCAAGTGATATTATAACAAATTTTTGAACCTATGAGTAATTCAAAATGGGTAAGAATAATACTCCACTTAAAGTAATACTCCACCTCTCTCAACTCTCCAAATAATACTCCACTTAAAGCACTTAAAGGGAGTTAACATGTCCATGAAACTGCTATAGCGGAGAGTTTGTGTAGGTTATTAGTGTTCAGCACCTGATTTTGAGAATGTATCAACGCTGGAAAGCAAACACATAGTAACCCACAAAAGCAAAATTGGATATCAGAGCAGAAGCTTGTTATTTAAAAAAATTAAACCTTATAAATATCCAAAGTAACAAATGGTAAAAAAAATGAGTACGAACTTTTAAAAAAAATATCTGCTCCGACTTCGGAGCTTGTACTTACAAGTTTTGCAGGTTTTTAAGTCTTTACTTTCCAGCATCAATATTAAACTGCCATTAAAATGAGCAAGTACAAACTTGTGTTTATGAAATGTGTTCAGTGAGGCCAACAAAATATATAACCAATAGCAAATTGATGGCAAACTAATGAAATTATGTCCAAATACATTGTTGTAAGGAAAAATAATTGAGTCGAAATGTGATCAATAAAAAAACCACAATATTCTGCTCTTAAATTCAAGGATTTCAATTTTTTAAACATATAACATTGTATAGAATTGCTTTGTCTATAACTAAGTAGGGATTATGCACTGGCGCATAACAATATTAAAAAATAATAATAATACATATTTAATAATGTACATAATCCTAATTAAGATCTTTAAGACCATCATTTAGATAGCTATTCATGTGAAGTGCTATTTAATAGATTAAATATTTTTTTAAATACTAATTCCTAATTTAAATACTTACGCTTCTTTTTGTAGTTCCCTCAACGCTTCCAATTCAGTCCTCAATGTTGCAACCTGACTGTCTAGCCTGGCAACTTCACTGACTGTAAATTAATAAACACTGATTATATTTAGACATAACTTCTATATATATATTTCCCCACTTCAATCATAATGTGATTAATGGATGAAGCCTAAGAAAAAAGAAAATATGAAACATTATTAGCACATCAATTCTTAAAAATTTATGGTTGATGCAGATTAGATATTTTTGGGAATGGTTTACCTAGCATTGCTCTTCTTTTTTCTGCATACACTTGCTCATAAATAAACACGCCGGCTGCTCCAACCAGACCCACAATCGCTGCACCCATCAAAGCACGGGGCGATAAAAAACTATGAGAATTCATTTTGAACTAGCAAAAATAATTTAAGCGTTAAATGTTTTTCCACTATTAAGACTTGTAGAAGTACTTTAATATTACCAACGTGATATGCGAAATATGCAAATCACAAATATATATTCGGCAAAAGTGAGAATAATGCTTAAGGTTACAAAAAATATTTATGTATGACATACAGCTTATAGGAAACTAACTATCTAACAAATATTGTGTAATATTGTTTTGCGTACGTATGTACTGGAGAAAATAAGAAATTCCGTAAAATTTAGCCTATTGACAAGAGAAATCGGTTACGTACAACTGAATACTGACAATGACAAGTGACAACTGACTAGGGATGTTAGATGTTATATATCAATATTTCCAAGGTCAAAAATAACGAAGTTCAGTGATACCCCATTGCGTTCAATAATTTTTATATCTCATTTTTTATACTTTGAAAGTCTTTGTATTTTTTTATTTATTTTCTGTGCTTAATTTCATGGAAATATGTTGTTCTCAATTCAATCCTAATTTATTTAAAGTGGCAACGAGAAAATTCTCACTCTGTGGGAATTTGGCCATGAGCTTGCCTTCTTAATGCCTTTTTTCATAAACAGGAGCCACTTTCGCACAAAGAAAGGACAGGCTTCATGGAAGTAGGTCGTTTTAAGTTCAGTTGTCATCGATTACAGTATTTTTAAAACCAAATTACAATGAATTTTATTCATATAAGATTTTTAAAGCAAGATTTTGGATTCAGTTATAATAATAATTTCAAGGAATAACAAATCAGCTATAAAAATTCTTGAACGCGATGGGGTAAAACTGAACTTCGTTATATATCGATATTTTTGGGCATGGAAATATCGATATATAACATCCCTAGTCAGTTGTCACTTGTCACTCGGTATTCGGTTGTACGTAACCGATTTGTCTTGATAATTTATTTCTTATTCATTTCATTTTACATGTAAAAAATAATTTATTTACTTGACATTGGCAGAATTGTGCGAAATGCGCAGATATCCATTAAATAAAAAAGAAGAAGAAGATTTGTCTTGTCAACTGAATTTCTCATTTTCCACAGGAAAAACGGACGCAAAATAATATTACACAATATTTGTTACATAGTTTCCTATAAGCTGTCTGTCATACACAAAAATATTTTTGTAGCCTTAAGCATTATTCCCACTATTGCAGAATATTTATTTATGATTTGTATATTTCGCATATCCCGTTGGTACTATTAATGAAAAAAATAAAATATCTATCATACCGGTATTTCATTGTTTTTATAATCTTTCATCCCTACAACAACTGACTAAACAATGAGGAAGTATTTAAAAAAAGAAAGCAATAAATATCTCTCTACCTCAACTCTAGCAAAAGTTGATTTTTGTAGGAAACGAATGGACCCAAGATAATCATTTCCGTTCCTTTTAACTAACATATTAAAAACTGAAATTTGCACAGTTCGAACTTGAGATATTAATACAAATACGAAAATATTTAAATACAAAATGAGTTGTTTATTGAGTTTTGAAAATTTATTTACTTTTATAAATGAAAGAAAACCGGATTTTTGTTTACCCTGAAAGTTAAATGTCAACGTCAGTCTGTATGTCAAACAAACATGCGTCCTCTTTCGATTGATTGCGAATTTCAGTTTGTGTTTGTATTGTAAATCATTTAATTAATTTTATATTTTGTCGTGTTTTTTCTATAACGTTCAAGGTATAACTAATTTTCGTAATTCACGAATGTCAAAGCATCGTAAGTAATGTAACTAATTTATTTTTCTTTTAAACAAACCATGTACTGAAACATTCATTTTATAATTAATTATTTATGTTGTAATGGTTTCAGTTAGGGTGATTATAAGAAATTCTAGAAATATGTGAGGCATTAAAAAAATATCATTAAGTTAAATTTTATTGTTGATTATGTGAGCTTGAATGATATTACATGTCTTTAATGTTTCAATAGTGTAGTATTTTTGCGTAAAGCAAGTTCGAGCGGGAGCGAAATTGAAACGTTACCGGCTATTAACGTGACAGAATTAATCTTATCGCGCTTCTCCTTTATTTCCCATACCTCATTACTTGGTCATTGAACTTCAGAACATGAGCTGTCGGATAATAACTACTTATTTGTGATTGAAATCCGGAACTATATTTTTTCATATTTATACTTGTAGTTGAACAACACTGACTGCACCCAATGTCGATTACTATCTATATTGACCTAAATAACTATATATGTATTCCAGTTCCAGACGGTATTTTTAAAATTTTTGTAACAACAGTCAGCAGATTTAGGAAATGTAGTTTTTAAGTGTTTTTTCTCAATTTTATGTGACAACACATAAGTAACAGATTAACTATTGAAATATTACTCTATTTTATTTACACATTAAATATCCCATCTCTAACATGAGTAAAATTAGATGTTGTTGTTGTTATATAAAAGATATCTTTCTTTAAGGTTTCAACTATAAGAAACAAACAATGAATACAGCATATTTTTTTATAGATATTATAAAATTTTTGGATTTGATGCATTAAAAAGATCTGTTATTTTATTTATTTTTAAATTAAAATTGATACCCATAATTGTTTCTCAGGAGTGGTTTCATTGATGTCATCAATATTACATCCAAATTTGCAATTTCAATGTTTTTGCCACTGTTTCTCAATTTGTCTATGGTTTCAATTTCTGGCATAGGCAAATTCACTTACCATGAAAATTTTTGTAGAAAGTAATTCTATTTTTTGTTTACATGTTTTAATGTTACTTAAAAATTTGTGCAACCCATCAAGGCTACATGAGTATATTGCATATTAAAGTGATAAATTAATAACATACCAAAAATAAATACTAATTTCATAAGCACATTAGAACTGACTTTTGATAATAAAACATATGTTTTATTATAAATGCAGTTTTTATTTTATTTTGTCTCCTTCTGGAATGAAACCCTTGCGTTTCACATGTAAACATATGTCTTGATTTATGCCGTTTCAATTTACGTTGCATGTTTCGAGAACCTAACATGCCACAAGTATGAAGACTGCCTGACTTTAGTTACATAGTTCTCTTAGTAACAGAACAGTATATGAAGTATATATTATTATTTTTACAGGAAAATTATTATGAATCAAGAAAAAGAAGATATGTCACATGGTGATCATGTTGAAAATCCTCTACCCGAATCTTCCAAAGATGGAGAATCTGACAAACAAAACTTTGAAAAAGGTTTGGAATCATCACCTAAAGATCCAATTGTAAATTTGGAAGATAAGGATGAAGTTGAGTCAATTTTAGAAAGTATTGACGATGATGATGAAGAGCTACATTTAAAGTGGGAAGATGATGAAATTGAGGAAGACATCATATCACTTGATATACCACCAGAAGTTTTAAAAAAAGAGACATGTTACTCTACATTAGATAAAAACTGTGATTCTATTGATAATCAACAAGAAAGTAATCAAATCATCAATAAAAGTGAAACTGCTACTAGTATTGATGAGACCAACAAAGAAACAATACAAATAATAGAGCCCCTTAGTCCAGAAGAGACATTACAAGATATACAATCGGAGATTGATAGTATTTGTGCTAACATTAAAGACAGCATTGATGACAAATGTAATCTTAAGGATAAAACTGAAATTGAGATTAACATTTCTGATCCTAGCAGTCCTGTCGATGATTTAATTCTTATAGAAGATGATGACCAAGCTGAAGTTATAAATACTCCAGAAGAGATTTCTACCGAAGAAATGGGAGAGAAGAAAAAAAAAATACAAAGTGAAAAAAATATGAACAGTGATAAATTTTCTGATAACAATAAAATAGATACAATTATAGAAACAGAGATAGCTGTGAAAAGCATTATGGATATGGATATATCTGATGAAGTTAAGGATAATAAACTACTTCTTGCTGAAGACAACAATGACAAAATTAACACTGTGCTTAAAGTCACTGATCATACCCAAAATTCTGAATTTGAGAAAGATTTTACAGATTCGAGTACTTCCCTTAAAATCTGTGATAAAATAATGGATGATAGTATTTTTGTAGATGATAACAAAGACAGCATTGTTGCTAGTTCTCCAAATCAAGCTATGGACATTTCATTAACTGATACCAAATTAGATCATGGTTTGAATAAGCCCGACATGATGCTAGATATACCAACACAAGAAGTTATAGAGTTTTTAGACGATACTGATGAGTTTGAAAAAACATCATTGAAAAATATTGAAAATTGTATAGAAAATAACGACACTGTTCCTGATTCCTTTGTGATGGAGACTTCTTGTGAAGTAGATAAATTGCAGCTTAACACTTCTAATGAAGCAGAACCTAAAGAACTAGAAGAAGCAATAGAGATTACTAAAAACCTTACAAATTCTCTTAGTACAGAAACAAATAAAATTGACGCTTCAACTACGAAAAGTATATCAAAATCTGCTGACAACCAACAAACTCCCAATGACAAAAAAATAGAAGAAGCAACAAACCAAAACCTAGAAACAGTAGAATCTCAAAATACTAGCAAAATAATAGCAGAGCAAGAAACTGAAATAACATCTATAATTATTAATGAAGTACAACCATCTAAATCTGAAAATTTTGACAGTGGAGTTCCTACCATTGAGGATTTATATTTGTCAGCTGCAGAAAAAGATATTTATGCTGAAAACAAAGATAATTACAATGAGGAAAATGCTACAACTGAAGATGTTTCTGTCACAACATTAGAGGAACCACAACCATCAACATCTAAAGCTGTTGAAGAATCTAAACAGTTTACTGAAGCAATTAATCCTAAAGATGAACTTTCAGAAGTAACAGATAGTCTTGGGTTATTAGCTGAATCATCAAGGGTGATGGAAGATGATGAAGAGCCAGAAGATGAAGAAGAAGACGATGATGACTTTGACCAAGATGGTGAGTCGCAATTTATGTATGTTTAATATGGTTTATATCGTTACTATGTCTATATAAAATGTCAAATTTTATTTGCAGAAAGTAGCAACCAAATGACAGCTGAACATTCAGAGGACTCAAATGCACAGCATTCTGAAACAGATCAAACCAAGGAACAAGATGATAAAGGGACGGAATCTCCGCAAGAAGACAAGGGAGATTTCAGCTTTGCTATCAATGACATAATCACCCTATTGCCACAGAAGGATGGAGATAAAAAAGAAAAAGATGAAAATATCGAAATAGATGTACAAGATAAAGATAGAGACGATGATATAGATGTTCAAGAGAAAGATGAAGATATTGATATAGATGTTCAAGACAAAGATGGAGATGTTGATATAGATACACAAGACAAAGATGGAGATATTAATATACAAGAGAAAAATGGAGATATTGACGTAGATGAGGTCGTCTGTGAAGACGTAAGTACCAAGTTATTATTAGCATTTAGCATGCATTTGATGTGATACGCGATATCGTTACTTTGAACTTAATATTGGGTATATGAATTTTGCAACTATATCATATACCCGGACGTATTTGAAAACTCTTTGTTTCTCATTTTAAGTGTGTGGGAGAGTCTAATACTGCTACTGACTATAGGACAATAGGGTTGACAACTGGGTGAAAAAAAAAACTATGTAGTCCGTCAGTCAGATAATAATTGCTTGGATAACAGATATTAAAGGAGTGGGGGTTCGCTATGTCACAGTTTGGTAGAAAATTTACCAAAGCGCGATGTTATGCGACATTTTAATGCAATGTATCGCCGTAATTTAATAATTACGAAAAAAATACGTGTTTAATATTTTTCAACAATCCTCCTTGATGAACAAATAAAACGAAAATTAGTCGTCATCCCTATTTATTTTTATAAGTGAAACTACCCACAAAAACCATATCTCATTATAGGAGGTAGAAGTCACTGCAGAGCAAATAGGTGATATCGGCGCTAATTTGGAAGTAAATGCTGGTGATAATCTGGAAATTTCGGAGCCTGTCAAGGTAAGAATCACTGTTTTGTCAATATGAAATTTCTTAATAAATATGTAAGATATTTTTAGAATTTCATTCTCTTACTTTCATACTCCCCGGATACACGTCATCACGCCACCGCTTCTCGAACAATGACGCTCCTACAACTAGCAACTATCTTACAGCAAGACTAGTCAAATCAATGTTTCTTATTAAGCTAACACAACATCCATTTCCGGACAAGTGACATTATTTTATTTTTTAATTCTGTTCTGTGAATAAATAAGCTAGTTTGATTGAAGATCATATTTTTTAATATAAAAAGTCTACTCTAATTATAATAATAAAGGCCAGAGTCTCTCCTGTACAGAACACATATGTTATGTACGTGGTATACATTTAAAGATAATATCTTTTACATTAAATTTCAATTCTAAACAAATCACACCTTTTTTACCATTTGATTAAATTTTACAATCTTAAAAACATGTTTACCATAATCGTGATTGTTTGAGGATAATTAAATAAAAACAGTTTTTATAGACTGCCTACGTCATTGTACACGCAATTGCGGGTACAACGACATAGACAATCTTTGAACAACAAAAAAATTTACATTATAGGAAAAACCAGAAGATACACAGCATTCATCGGAAATTGAAACAGTGAAACTGTCTGACACGTCTGACAATGAGGTAGAGGGAGACAACGTTATATTGAGAACTATGCTACAGAAGCCACAAGCTCCATTAGGTAATTATTAGGTCACTTATTTCACACATGCATTGAAAGGTTTCTTCATTTATTTTCCCATAATAGAAAAGAAAAACAAATTATGGAATAATAAATAGAAGTCTTGTGCTTATTTCAGTAACATCTAATTCAGAAAGGGAAGAGAAAAACAAATCGCCAATAAAGAAGTTGGAAATCACCAAGACTAGCAATAATATAATGAATTTCGTTGATTTAGAGGAGAGCTCCTCAGAGGATGGTAAGTGTCATTTTAATTGTCATCTGTTGTTCTCTTTTCATCAGCATTTGTTTGTCCAACAGTGGACATACATTTCCTTCCAGCGTCATCTGCAGGTTACACATCCAAGATTTGTTGGCTGTATGAACTGTATTGTCAGATCGTCTTATCTTTGGTCTTCTTAATTTTCTGTTGGATATGTAATGGCGGAGTCGCTCTAAGGCTACAGTATGCCCAGCCCTTGGGCGGCCAGATATTAGGTCAATGATAGCATAAAATAGTGTGTACTCAATACTTACTGATGAAATATCAGATACTGGTATATCTTCACTTGTTTATCCTAAATGAAAACAGAAATACTGAGCTGAGATAAGAATTAAAATAAAACACCTGTTATTTTGTGGTATTTTCATGGAATAACTTCTGTTAGGACTCCACAAATGTTTATTGTGTCAGAAGCATGTTTATTCTACACTGGACATATTTATATCAACAGTTTTTTTATTAATTTAAACAACAGTGCAATTATAAAACCTAATATCTTTACACACATAATTTATAATTAAGTATTAAACATTATAACTTTTTATAGTTACCTTCAAACGTCCACGATACAAAAATTTTATCATATGGAAACGTTTGTATTAATCAAATTATTATTACAAAATATTTGAATTATTTAATTTGTTTGTTTATTTGCTCTTGACTACCATCAACCACTACCAGTTCAAAATTTAAGAATTTTGTCTGAGATGAACGACAAGAAAGTGATTACTCCCTATAATATTAATGTTTACAGAAAGAACTAATTCTAACTTTAGGTTTTACACTGTGTGAGATTTTTTCGACTAATTACTATATCCGAAGTCGATGGTATATTCCAACCTTCATCTCTAGTAAAACTATTAAAATTTAGTCACCGGTTTAAGTAATTCTATTTTATGATTTAATTCGCCACTTTCAGCATATTTCGATTTAAATAGTTTTGTTGTAAATAGATTCTTAATATACATATAAAACACCCAGACCCATACAAACCTACATGTTCATGTTCAGACTTTGTAATCGAGAAAACGAGTCACTACACCAAAATGGTTTTCAATTAGTATAAAAAAATCTAAAAGTACACCGCTTCATGTATGTGCTGTTTTAGATCATCAAATATTTGATAAAATATTTTACATGTTGCCGTGTGCGTCGGCTCAGAAACAATACTGTTATTTATTGAAAATACTTTGCATAAAAATGTAAAATGACATTTACTAATCGAAAATAACTTTTAGTCCTATAGTTATTTTTGCAGTTTTAATACGCACTGTGGCTTCGTAACACGTCCGAACGTTGGCGATGTCGCAAACAAACTAAATCAAAATAAGACCTCAATTTCTTCGGGCGTTTTTCAGACTGACTGGGTATTGTTGATATATTTATAGTAGTCACCTGTATGCAAATGGTGGATTATCCTTAAAGCAAACTATGTACGTTTTTAGATGTGCACGCGCATAGTTAATAGTGAATAAAACATTGTGATGTTCGCGTTTGTTTCCTCTTTTTACCCGACTGCGCGACTCAAAGGAGGGTAATGTGTTTATCAGTCTATGTATGTATGTATGTTTGTTTCTATGTGGCGTTCTAGAGACCAAATGCGTAGGACGATTTTGATGATTCTTGCGTCAATCGATTCGTCTTAACCTTGCGAGTGTCACTAAAGACATGAAAGTAGTTAAAATTCACCACAGCGACAATAAGACGCCATATTGTCAAAATGAAAAAAAAAATAGACGATCAATGTCAAGTGGGGTGTCGTTGAATAGGTATTTTAAAATCATCTTTAGGTTCCTTTTATCACTTTTCATTTTAAATAATAGTTTAGGATAGATTACGATTTAAAATTGTTTAACAAAACAATCATATTCGCTAATTTTCTTACTTATTGATTTAAGTTTTTATTTAAAGTATAAACGATATACAAACAAAAAAAACTGTGAAAAGTATGAAGAACAAATATTTTTGGTAAAAAAGTATAAAATAAAAATAAATAATTAAAAGAAAAACAAAAAACCCGAATGCATAAAAACCAATTTTAAAAAGGTACATGAACAAATTAACTTAAATAAAAAGAAAAAAACAAGCCCAGTAGTTTAGAATTCTGTTAAGAAATACTAAATAACTACACAATTGAATCTGTTCTGCATTAGAATTTATTATTTGTTTTATGTGTGTATCGATTATAAAACTATTTCTATTCTGTAGTTATTTAGTTTTACTTAACAGATTTCTAAACTACTGGGCTTGTTTTTTTATTTTTAGTTTTTATTTAAGTTAATTTTTTCATGTATTTTTTTTTTAAATTTGTTTTTCTTTATTTTATAATATCCTTTTTCTTTTATGTTTAGACATTCAAGAATCGAATAAGGAGAAGTCGGAACCTGCAGCGGAGGAGGTCACGCCCGTAGATACATCCACTCTTGTTACAGAACCGAAGACACCCACGAAAACTAAACGAATGGTAAGTTGAAGAAGTGTGCGTTGAGGAGCTGGTTATTCGCCGGGTCTATACTACATTCATTATAACATTAGAAAAAAGAGGATCTCAAAAGCAGCAGTGCAGAACATTTTATTTACAAGATAAATTTAAAAAATATTTATAATAGTTTTGTTGAAATTTTGAACTTTAGGTAGTCTGAAAGAGTTGGGCAATTTAACATTTTCTCGGGGTTGAGATGAGACTAGCATTTTCTAAATTCATCTTTTGCATAATGTCGTCTATAACAATTTGTTTACGACCCTGATATATTTTTTTAATGTTTTCATAAGTACTGAATTAAATTTTAGATTGATGTTTCCTATAAATTTACAGGCCCGTATAAACACAAGTGAGATATCGATTAGGACCGTAAGTAATGCAGAAGCAGCTACCCTACCCCAAATAAAGGTTAGTAAACAAGATATACACTTTTTATCGAACTAGCGGATAATTTAAAAATATGTACTTTGTTCCCTACTAATATTACAAAGAGGGAAATGATTGTTTGTGATTGTGATGTGATTTTGATTGTACGAAGAGGGAAATTTTGATTATAAATGTTTTATACATTATTTCTTACAATTTACGCGGGGGAAATCGCTGGAAAATGTCTTCTATCTTTCGTAGTGTATTAAGTGACGGTATCATGTTAGGTATGTGTAATATGTTTATATTTTTCAGCCAGTAGAAGAGACACCAACGCCTAAATTCGGTCTAGAGGTTTTCAGTCTCGATTCAGACGAAGAAGACCATGAGAAACCAGCAACACCAGGTAAGAAACAAAAAAATCAGTAAATGTATTATGAATTCAGTTGATTTTTGAAGTATTTGCAAGAAATAAAACTTTTTTTTTATTATAGTAGAAGCTACATTCACACTTGAAATATAGACTTTAATGCGTTATGTTAAGATTTACACTAGTAGTACAATTCTCAAGCGGCGAGGCGTATCATGATACCGTGACCAATAAACATGTCGCGAGTATTAATCAATATGGAATCGATTAGTTAATTTTTTTCGCGATTTACAATGGATCGTAGCGTCGGCGAAATTAGAAAGTCCGCAAAAAATCGAGTATTGGATTTATTTCTAGAAATATTTTCGATAGTTGAATATCAAAATCATACTAATATTTACCATAATTAGCTACCATTGTTATTTGATTGTTTAATTAGAAATGAAATTAATTTAAAAAGCATATGATCTTGTTAAACCACTATCACATTATACATATAATTGCAATTTATTTTAATGCAAATAATACTGCTTAGTTATTCCTTACATATTAGTTACCATTAATTTAATACTGATTACAATCCTTGTGGTTTTATGAACACCGTTCTCTTGTATAGAACCTAAGGAAGAAGAGATATCACCAGTTGAACCTGAGCGCGTGAAAGGGAAAAAGAAGTGTATCAACTTAGCGTGCAAGTCGGCCGGCAATTGCGCGTACATAAAAGCAGATGCCGCCACCGTCGCTTATTACGACGCTACCAGAAAGAGAAAGGCGATGGTGTGCGAGGAGTGCGCCGATGTAGTTGTCAATAGGACTCAGGTAATAAATATTCTTTTCATAGAGCACGTATTACTGTAAAAAGTTATTTTTAACCGTCAAGCTTGAACAAAAAGTAAAGTAAGCATAGTTGGCATTTAATATTATTTTAACTATTGGGAATAAATAAAATATAGATAAAGACCAATTTTTGTTGTAGAACAGAAAATACATGCAAATAAGAAAAAATCTGTTTTCCAGGTATCACAAATTAAAGATTTTCGACTGGACCTAAATTAGATTTTCACAAAAGTAACAGTTGTATTATATCTAGCAGTACTGGTGTTACCTAAACCATATGTATATGTAACCATAGACTAGCTCAACTTAGTTTATAAAGTTTTTCTGATAACCAAATACTTTTTAAGTTATTCGCGATTAAAAATGTCAAAAATGCACGTTTTATGGAAAAAGAAATTAAGAATCTAATTTTTTATATGAAAAAGAAAACAAAGAAATTAATTTTGTTTAATGTAACGGCGCATACTGTGCGACTTATGACTCATTCAGGCATTTTTTGTGTCGTTATTTTTTCTTATAGCTTCAACAGCAAATAGCGAAACGCTTAAGATTTTAACTGAAAAAAAAAAAGGAATTACCCTTTTAAAGTACTTTATAAGACTAACTATAGCTGTAATTGATAAATTAATTAATAATGAAAGTAATTTTGTTTCACTCTTTAGTCTGGTAACAGCAATAGCTAACGTTGTTATAGAGCAATTAAAATTAAATTAATTAGCAAATACAACAAGAGTCTCTAGCTCTATAGAAGTGTCGTTTATAGAACTAGTCCCATAGAGATCTTGCGAGGGCTTTTAAAAAACTCAAATGTTACGTAAAAGTTGTATTAGGTACTTTTACGTCGCAAATTGATTCTACCTAAGGTTTTGAATGTTGCTACATCACTATACTGGCACTATTAAAGTTATTTTGACGCATTATTAGTGTAAAATAAACATATAAAACATTCATTAAAATCATCTATTGTACTAAATAGTACTATAACTATTGCATATATTCAGTTTTCTTTTTTACATTATCATCTATATTTCCCCAATTTATTATCTTTAATCCAATTTAATTTGAATTTATGCTTTTAAAAAAATATATACGTATTGGATTCCCATACGCAGCCCTGTCGTCGTCGCCATAAATCATATTTCTTACTGTAATAAAAATATTTTTAAGCCAGACTGAAAGTGAATTAGAGAAACTACGGTAAGTTACACGCATGTATAGTATTCTACAACATTAAAACTAAATAAAATATGGCTGTATCATTGATACAGCCATATTTTATGCGTGGATACGTCTATGTATGAATGGATATATGAGTAATTGATAAAAAAAATAAAATAAACAAATTGAAGACACTATAAGAATAAATAAATATTCGTTGCGTTCATTTGTTGAATGAAAAAGTATTCACTAGCGCCAACAGATGGCGTTAGTGCATATACTCCTGCTGACAGAATGCCCCTCCCCCTGCAGAGCAAGCATAGTTCACTTATACGCCAATAGATTGCGTTAGTGCATATACTCCTGCTCACAGAATGACCCCCCTGTAGAACGAAAACATAGACGTATCCACGTCAAAAGCAAGAAATAAAATAGTCCGGCATATGATCTAATTGTATCTATGTAATTAACATTCATAAAATATATACTCACAAAATAAACATAGTCCATTTCCTATTATGGTATAGTCGCATAGTAAAATCTCTGGTTTCTAATACCAAATCATTAAAAAACTCGATATAAAAAAAATGTTTATTCATAGGCAATTATTCAGAAGGTCATTCATTTCTTCATTCAAAGTTTAGAAACTCTATCAAATGACAAATTTCATAAATACTCCATATTCGTTTTACAATTTTCTCAATTAAGGCTCCGAAGTTACTGGATCGGTTTTAAAAATTATTTCATCTACATAAAGATCTTATGCAATTTCATAGGCTATAGTTTACGCGTGCGATATCTTAAGTAACATATGTATTATAGTTCACAGTAAAAGAGTAGATGTAACGGCTAGTGTATTGAGAAAAATATGCTTACTTACTATTCAACTTTGTTAACAGGTTTTGGTGAAAGGCATCAAAGAGTTTACGCCATTACTCGAGCTCGACATCATCAGGGTGTCCTCGGAGCTTGTAGAGATATCAGACTCTGAATCTGAGGACGAAACGGAAGCGGTCGCCGATGTGAAAGAGAAGATAGGCGAGAAAGGTGCCAAGTGAGTACCTGTATTAACTACTCCATATATCAAAACTAGCCCTTTCCCAGCGGCTTCTCCCGCGTGGTCTAGTTTTTATACTTCCAAGTACAAAAATTAGAAAAATCCATATAGACTTACCCCCCTATTTCACTCCCCTAGGGTATTGTTTCTAAAAATTATTTTTGTTAGTGCTCACTTCCATCATGAAAGGAATCCCTGTACTACATTTCAGGAGACTAGGTTCAGTAGTTTAGGCTGGGAGTTGAAATGTAAATCAGGTTTGCTTTTTATATTTAAAGATACTATATACAGGAATCAAATCATTAAGTTATAAATCTGCCACCATTAGTCGATCCCTCCAATCTGAAAATATCCTTAATTTTGCTTAGAATGTTGGAAGAGCAATTGGCCGATATGATAAATCAGACATGGAAGAAATTCAAGATGGACGCCAGACTGTCTGAGGCAGAGGACGCGCTGAACAAGGAATTGAAGATTTTAGAAGGTTAGTCGTTATTGAAAATCTCAAGTTATAGTTAAAACACTTAAAACATACACAATTAATGACGCACTTGTCCTAAAAAGGTCTATAACACAATCGCCAAACAGATAATTCCGTATAATTACCCGGCATTACATATCTCTTTGACTCGTGCGCACATACTACTATTGTGCTTGCAAATATGAATCTAGCCGATTTTGTCATACTAAAGTGAAAAATGTTTACGATTTCTATCAGTAGGCACAAAGGTCAACGTACGAAATTCTTTCGGTTCGGCGACTGTGCTATAGTTTAGTTTTAGTACATATACATATAATACAGAGCTTTGTATGGTTTCGTAATGGGCACTGGGCATGCAGTTTTGACATTTATAATGATAATTAATTAGTGATCCCAAAGCTTATTTAACGTCTTAAATAGTGACAGATATCACAACAAATAAGGTCCAAAAAACTATGATAAAAATTCTAATGAGATTAAATTTGCGGGTAGTTGTCGCTTTACTTAAATGTGACTTACAATTTTTCAACAATACTTAGCAAAGGTAGTGCAAAAGAGATGTAGCAAATATCATTTCTTTCGTGCCATATTAGTTGTATGTTACAAACGTTCGAAACTTGAAAAATTATCGTTACTTCCATAGCAGTAAGATCTATTTTTCGGTATTAAATTTTTTTGCGAGAGTTAACGACGCGTCACAAACAAACAATTAATACAACTGACACAGACAAGATAGAAACCTAATTGTTTGAGGGTATTATAACAAAGACCTAATCTTTCCGTGACCATATTTTTTTTTTTCATGTAACCTTCATTGCTACGTCATTTTCACTACTTTTTGAACACCCCTCGTATATATACATGTGTACATTTCGATATGTGTAAGTTACAGGCTTAATTTGGATCCAACCGTGATTTGACATCGATATATGAAAATAGTATTTACAGAAAAATAATGTAAAAGCCCATACCTAAAAACAAATCATAATCTGGTTATTACCTATTGCCGAAATTGGAAACTAACTTCTTAGTAAATGCTTTTTTTTTGTCAACAGCTGAGAGCAAAGAGATAGATACTTTACTCAACGATTGTCAAATAGCCACAGACAAACTGAGGAACGATTTGTACGCGACATTTGAACACGAGAGGCGAGAATTGCCTCCATTCACTATATTCGACACTCCTACTAATAAGGTAAGATCACATCAGACTTTACAGGATATACTTAAGGTTTGACCTCTATCTTTCAGCACGTTATCTCCGTCTCCCATCGCCCTATCCTTTTCTATCACTATTTACAGCCTTTTGCTAGACCGAGAAAGAATAGAATATGAAATACTAAATGTAACTGAAATATGAACTAATACCACAAGCTGCAGATCTACCGCATAGCAACATTGGTTTCGATTTTGTTGACATTGTATTCAATCACAATGCACTCAACCTTCAATATTGTATCATGAGGTATATTGGTTCAATACATAGGATTGAATCAAATACACTTGACTTTTCATTAAATAAGTAACAAAAGAAAACTCTAAAAAGGCCCTTTCTGCTTATTGCCCTTATTTATGACTATTTTAGCCCAAGGGCAATATACTCCTGTTTATAAAGCACTTGGCTTGATACATTCAAATAAAAGAACACTCATTTTCACTTTGTATAATCTATCCCGTGAGTAGCTCGGTGGCGTAATGGATAAGCGCCGCGGGCCGCGATCGTTGTCGTTAAGCAACTTTCGCAAGGGTCAGTCACGGGATGGGTGACCAAAAAATTATCATCTCGAGCTATTTCGTGCTTCGGAAGGCACGTTAAGCCGTTGGTCCCGGCTGTATTTGCAGTTGTTATAATACCCTCCAATCCGCATTGGGCCAGCGTGGAGGGTTATGGTCCATCCTCCTTAACCATCTATAAGGAAGGCCTGAGCCCCTGCGGTGGGGACGTAAAAGGGCTGATGGTATGTGTGTGTGTATGTGTATATATATATATATATATATATATTCTTTCTTTTTGTTTTAGTACAGCTTACTGGAACCATCAGACAGCGCCAAGCCTCTGAAACACGAAGAGGTAAGTGATATTGTTGTAATATAAAAAAAAATGGCAGAAAATAACCAATCGTATAAAACAAAGCTGCTTTTATTCGCTAACTTGACGTATCATATACTACAGTTCTGTCCTTAAAGGTCTAATTGTCCCCATGATGTTGGCATTACTTACAAAATATATATATCGTGTAGCCAGACTGAATAAGGAATATGAAGGTTATATTCTATCCAAAACCGTTTCAAGAAGCAAATGGATGCTTGAAAAAAGCTTCCAGGAAGGCCTAAAATGCTTTAGAATAACTTTATAAAAAAACCTATAGAAAAAGTGGATACCGGTTGCACAAGATCGCAACAAATAGAGGATTGCCGGAAGCCTACAGTCAAATTTTAATTGGTGATATATGTATGTGAAATGTAGAAAGTCATCCATACTATATATATTCACTCTTGAGTTTTATGGCAGCTCAAAAGTTTTATTAAAATGTTAATAATTATGATGTCATACAGCAGATAAATTATTCAAACGTTCTTTTTCTCGCTTTTCTTTTGTTTATTTGGAAATCAGATCAATCTGTCAACCAGATTGCAGCACTAGCACGTGTAGGAAACAGGTTTTTATAAACGTCAGTCGCAGAGTACTGAACGTAGAGTAAAGCAATAGTGATAACAGCATTTAAATTTTTTTAAATACAAATAATGTCATTTATCTAATATTACATCATTGCTGCATATTTGCATGTAAGAAGGTAGGGAATCATTCATTTACAAAAGACAATATTTTCAAAAAAATTGTTTGTTCACTACATGTCTTAGTGCTACCATTTACGTCGACCTTAGCGTGATATTCCCTATGAAATACCACCAGATCGCCAGTACCAAGAGACGATTGTCCGATGGCAGCGAAACGCCCGCCAAACGGGCCGCAATACCGCTCCCATACACACCTATAAATGATCCTCAAGCCGACACTGCCGCGCAGGTAAAGATCCATTTTCTTATTATTGTCCTACTGAATTATTATGTGAACATTTTCAAGTGAAACACATTTTCTTTTCAGGATAAATCTTCAGCATTGGACAGTTCCAAAGATGATGATGTAAGTAAATCGTTAAAATTAAAAATTAGTTAATAAGATCCTAAGAATCTGCGCACAATAAGTAGATTGTTTGTTCGAATTGTCTGAAACCTCATAATACAATAAAAGTTACCATAATTATTATTAACCCAAAAAAGACAATTTTCTCTTATTTCCCTTATTTCCTCCAATCACTTCTCTTATTTCCTTCAATCTGAAGGAAGCATCTTTGCGTTCTCTATCCACTTCTTTCAGTTCTCAAAGATCTCCATTCTGTTTTAGGACGATAGTTGAGAGTGAAGTTGAATTAAATGCACTTAACATAGATTGACTGCTTGAAATTTTTGGCCTGAAATATCGACTATTGCTGGAGATCATCTCAAAAATCATTTGAATCAATAATTTATTTTAATGTTTAAATCTGATTAATATTCCAAATGTTTTCTTATAGAAAGATATAGCCGTTATGCAAGTGTCGGCGGAGGCTGCGCCCTCTGAGTTGCCACCGCCGGGCGAGCTGTCTAGGCCTCCGCTGCGCGCGGGCACGTATGTTTACGGCATGAGGAACGTGTTCGGATCGTGGGTTCGATGCCGGATCATGGAAGTACAGGGGAAGAGCAGCGTGCCAGGGGTGAGTATTCACTAATTTAAATTGTCCCACGAAAATAGAGACACGCGACATTTGGAGCCGTGATGTCACATTTCAATAAACATAGTACTGGTTGCACTCGCATCAAAGACGTTGAAGTTTAATTTATTGTAATGTGACGTCACATGATGCTCGTCAGAATTCGATTCAAAACTTCGATTTTCCATTTGATTGTAATGCAGTACTGAGGCAATCACTAAAATCATTCAAAGTCCAAAATCAACATGGTAACATCCTATTATCCTGTTTTCAGGTGTGTTAAGTTGTCACCATCTTTAAAGTCCCGGATTTGATTCCCGGTCCTTTTAATGTGAATGAAATTTCATTCGTCATGGAATCGGAACAGTGTGTGTTATGTTGTCTAATATTAATTTATATTTAAACTATATATTGCATAAAGTTAAGAAAATGACGAAGATAATGGTGGCAGCAAGATTTCATAATTATTATTTAGCTTATAAAATGTGGTTAGCTTGTACTGGGGATCTCTTCAACTTTCATCCTAATATCCGCAAGATTACGTCCTAAATACTAATCGTTGATATTGTGTTTGCAGTCTGTACACACGTTCACTATATGCAAGGTTAAATTTGAGGGTAGAGTGAGGAATCCCGTCAAGTTACTACCCGCACGCTGTTTGGCGTACAACGAGCCGACAGACGTTCGAATGACCATTGGTGAGTTTACATTTCAATTAATATTATGATACACCTCTGATCATATAATACGGGATAGCAATAGGATAGAAATTTTAATAATATTTAAATTACGAGTATAATAATGGTGATGGATAGAACAAAAATATTAGGAAATTTGCTATAATTACGCGACTACGGGGAAGCGAAAAGGAGGGTTATGATTTTAGCCGGTATGTATGTATGTAAGAATGTTCATCTTTTCATTTATAACTTCGAAACTACTTATCGTAACTGGACATATGAGGTATCATTAGAAGCGTCTTAGTTGTCCGTGTGCTATAGGCTATGTGATATTACATTAAATTAGCAACAGCGCCCTCTGGTGAGCATAGAGTAAGAAACTAAAAATAATATATTATTCAATCATACCGTGGAGACTATCAAATGAAAGGCCTTAATTAGTACATTTCAAATATATATTCGTATTGATAGCTTTTGCTTGCGATTTTGCATACACGCGAGACTTCTTTATATGACCTCATTAGTTTAAAGAGACATTACCCATACAAATTTCACATTAATTAGAAGTAAAGGCGTCATTTAACTTTAATGGATATTTGTGCAACTGACTGACTGACGCTATTTATTAATAGCGTTTTTAATAAACAATAATAATTGTTATCAGGCACTCGCGTGATAGCCCTGTTCAAAGACACCAATGATAACAAAAGGGACTCTTTCTACTCTGGTATCATAGCAGAGGTGCCAAACCCGGTGAACAAGTACAGGTAATTATATATTTTAATAAGCTGTTATAAGTTATCCGTGTCAGCTAGTAAGAAATAAACGCAAGCTGCTAAATATTTTTGAAAAAATTTCCAGTCATAAAGCTACTCAATGCAACTTTAAAATTCGTCTGTCTCATTGTGTTCAGCAACCTATATATGAGGTGTTCTTATCTATATATATAAAAATGAATCGCAAAATGTGTTGGTAAACGCATAACTCAACAACGCCTCGACCAATTTGGCCAAATCTTTTTTTTAAATGTTCGTTGAAGTTCAAGGATGGTTTTTACGGCGAGAAAAATTACAATTATTGCTGGAAAAACCCTAAAAATAGCCCTTTTCTTTTTCCCATACAAATGATTTGTAACTAAAACGTAGTCAATTTGAGCTTTATTGCTATGGTATAAAGTTCATATTAAATTACAAGCACTCACTGTTGTCTAAGCAATGTAGGTGTGTTCCTAACGTCAAAGATCATATCTATCACAAAACAATGTGCGTGTGTGCGTTGGAGCACAGAATACATAGTTGGAGGAGTTTAATGTCGCGTTCCGAAACTCGCGTTTCTTTTGTATTAGTTTCGGCACGCGAGATAAAATGCATCAGTTTCCACGTCATTACATGTATTGCCGGAACATTGATGAAAATACGTTCTGTAGTAGCAAAGCTGTTGGGTCCTAGATAGCTCATTGGTTAGAGCAGTCCCTGGATCGCGAATGGGTTCGAGTCCCATTCCGGGGTACAGGTAGATGGATTCTTCCAGCATTTTTCCTTGAGAATGTTTATATATTTTTTTAATTCGAATAGTTTACTTTTATAATGCTGTTGTGTGTAATGTGTTTTTATGATCATAAAAATCTCTTTTTTCTATATTTAATACTATTACTATTAATACATTGCAATAATAATTATGATTCACATGATTAACAATAAAGCGATTACTTACTTTTAAATCCTTATATATGTTTTATTTAATTATTTTTTATTCACAACGCCCTATCACCAGGGTGACGGTTCTGTTCAGGAGAATTTTTTTAAATACGTAGGCAAAAAAACTGCCACATTACAAATCTTTTTGACAGGACGAAGTCTGTCGGGTCAGCTAGTTTTTTATAAAATAGTGTTTGAACATTACCAAAAATATGTAATTGAAAAGTTGTGACAAATCATCAAAAAAATCCTTTTTTACAAATTAAGACAAATCCTGTACGTTTGTTTTCTAAACATCTGCCCTATCCACCTCCTGTAATTTTGGCACATAATTTAAGAACAATAAAAAAAGGAAAACTCAATAAAAACGCACGGCTCAAAAATTGGATGGATCGAGCTAAAATTTGACACCAATAATTATTATGACATAAGGTTGAGAATTTTTAAATATCCAACTACTAAGGGGAAGAAATTTAAACATTACTTTTGAAGTAACAGCCACGCAAATCACTGGAGGAAAATTAACCTATACAAATATTATAAGAAGGAAAGTTCTGATTAGAATGAAATAACGAACAAGGTACATTTTAGCAATCCCGTAAAAAAAAACTATCATTCTAATGTAAATGACCATGAAAGCTTAAAACAACATAAAGATCTGATTGTTTGTTTGTAACTCTTATCGATCTTAGATATTTTTTTGCCGACCCGAAGGTACATCACACGGTTAATAGGCTATGATTTAGTGTTCTATAAAACCTGTCGTTAACTTTTAGATACCTGATATTCTTCGACGACGGATACGCTCAGTACGTTCGTCATTCGGACACCCGTCTCGTGTGCGAGTGCGCAACACTAGTATGGGAGGAGGTGCATCCCTTCTCCAGGGAATTTGTCCGGGAATATCTGATGGCGTATCCGGAACGACCAATGGTTAGACTGCACGCCGGACAGAGCCTGAAAACCGAGTGGAATGGTGAGTCAATAATGGCTATTAATTTGAAAATGTAAATGTAGATGTTGCTAGTTAGATAGGTGGTCGTTTTTAATATACTTAATTGCACTCTTTTTAAATTACTTTCCTCTTTGCTTACTAATATGTGAATGACGTCTGGCGTCTATAAGAAGCTGTTTACTACACTTGCTAGTGCTGCTATCTAGCGGCAGAAAATTGGTGGTATAAGAAAGTTAAGTCAGTACACAAAATTTAATATTGTAATCGTTATGGTGAATATTGTATATTCACGTTTGCTTCTTATATATCAAAGCAGAGCTGAAACTGCTGTAACTAGAAACATGGAATTTGGTACAGGGGTTCTTTTGTGAGCACTAAGAAAGAATTTATAGAAATTCAATCCCTAAGTGGGTGAAATATGGTGGTGAGGTTTCTGGACTTAGAAGTGTGAAAACTAGATCATTTTGATATGTCTATAAACACGTCGCTTTTATTTAGTTGCTACCTACTGTACACGTTGACGGCAATCAATGACCACTTTTTGTTAATATGCCTACAGTTTGTACATACTAATAAAATAAATATGAAAATGTTAAGCTATAGATATTACAAAACTAATTCGCTTGTACGGTGTAATCATTATTTCCATCAATATAGAGATGATTCAACAGTAAGTTTATATTTACAATATCTGATCACGCTGGCGGAAAGCCAGTAAATCATAAAATAAAGTTTTTATTATCAATTTTAATATTTATATACGAAATTTCTAAATTAAATTTCGTCATAAATACAATTATTTGTAAGTATTGACGATATATCAGGTGTTTAAAGAAAATGGCTGTTTAAGCTGTTTTTCTCTGATGGTCCATTGTCCTTATTTGATTTCATTTATTGGGGAGGTCTGTGCCTCAACATTGGGAAAATCAATATGAATATTGTGTTTATACAGGTAAATGGTGGTCGTCGCGAGTGACACAGGTGGATGCGTCTTTAGCACAAGTACATTTCGAGGAGGATAATCGTACAGAATGGATATATAGAGGTTCCACTCGTCTGGCGCCCTTGTATCTGGAATTGCAGGCGGCAGAAAGACATCGAGCTCGCCCGATGCCCAGGACTAAAGCACAGCCTAGGGTAAGTTTACACTTACCACCATGTCCATACTCAGTGGGGGGAGAAGAAAAATGGAACTTTAGTCTCTGTAAAACGTCTAAATGGGACTCACCGCCAGAACTATATTATCTTCTTCAGCCAGGTAGCCTCCAAAAAGTCTGTGATATTCCTGGCTTTTATAATTTTTATTTCTTCGTGGCTGATTTATATGGCGTCCTAGACGAATGCTTCGTTTCTGAATCTGTGGTCCACGTTTACACAGGAGATGTTTTGGTAACTTAATTTCGTGAGAATTACTGCAGTGTCCAGTTGTTCTGTTGAGCTTCAAAAGCTCTGCAAATAGTTTTCTCTATATCTACCTACATTCTATTGTTGAGGATAGAAATTGACTCTTAAATGTCTATGGTCAGGTTAACGCTACAATGAAGGTTTCACCTCGAACATGCTCAATTGTCTAGATATTACTTTTATTATATGATTTGTTTACAGATAAACATGCCTTACGTGGAATACACTCGGTCCGATGAACAAAACAAGTCTACAGAAGAACAGCAGACTTCACCACAGCAACAGGCTGCAGAGGTATAACATCTTTTATATTACACAGGTCTACAATCGAAGCAGTTTGCACTGTGCTACCTTAGAATGAAGATTCACTATTGAATTTTTTTTGCGTAATCTAGCGCCTCTGTTAAAAAAGTTAGGGTTTTTTACACTATACAAATAGGCTATGTGATGACTTTTTATCTTCTGGCACCGTGTTTTTTTTTTTTGTAATTATGCTAGCTTTTGTCTCGCGACTTCGCAGCATAAATTATAGCCAATGTTTAAATCAAGAATTTTTAAATCAATCCTGTAGTTTCGTAGCCTATTCGATGCAAACATACAAATGTGTCTTCTTTATGACATTAGTATAGATAAATAGATCATTGAAAAAAATACCTAAAATATAAGATTTTTACAACATTCTTGGTGTTGTACTTCGGTGTTATTCTTTGTCAGTGAAAACAAGTGTCAGGTACCTACTTGAGAAGGGCCTGGAAGTCATGCCCTTTGTGAAACTAATTCTTGCGACAGCCCACTTATTTGAAAGGGTTATTTTAAAAATATCAGATATAGATAATAATAATAATATTCGTGATCATAGCGTTTGATCACGAATATTATTATTATTATTATGTTTATAATGTTGGCTATTCGGTGATGTCAGCTTGACTGAGGTGCAGTCTCGAAAGAGAACTTATAGCGATCGTAGGTTAACGATTATTGTTAGTCTCTACTGTTAGGTATATTGTAACTGTAGAGGCTTTAATTAGCGATATGCTTTATCTCCTAGCGATCGACTTTGACAGTTCGGTCAGTGAACTCTGCGTCTACCAATGTCGAGACTGCACTGTCCTGGTGTTTTATAAATAACCCTGTATAAACTCTGACATAAGTATGGCTCTTGATATATCTTCATACGTGTATAGCGCGAGAGCCGCCAAAGGGCGGTGGCCAAGAAGTCCACAACCCCCGCCCCCGCGCCCGCCCCGCCCCCAGTCACTCCCGAGAGTGTTACCAGCAGAGTCGTGGTGAGTATGTTACTATTCACATCATCTGCCCATTGATGTCCCCATTGCTGAGGACAGGCCTTCCCTATCGATGGATTCGAATGGACCATAATATATAATGATAATAACATTAATTTCATAAATTTACATATATGCTTTGTGTATTCAATTTTACAATTAACTAGCATCTGTTTATTAATTTATATAAATTAATAATTAGCTCGGTAGCGTAGTGGATAAGCGCCGCGGCCCGCGATCGTTGTCGTTAAGCAACTTTCGCAAGGGTCGGTCACGGGATGGGTGACCAAAAAATTATTATCTCGAGCTACTCCGTGCTTCCGAAGGCACGTTAAGCTGTTGGTCCCGGCTGCGCTTGCAGTCGTTAATAGCCTCCAATCCGCATTGGGCCAGCGTGGAGGGTCATGGCTCATCCTCCTTTACCTTACATAAGTTAGGCCTGAGCACCTGCAGTGGGGACGTAAATGGGCTGATGATGATGATGATAATTATTTTTAACTTAATTTTGTTATCGATATTATTTCCTGTTGTGATTATTATTTTAGGAATGACGAATTATTTTATAATGATACAAATTGCATATTTATGAAATATTATGAAATTATATTATGTAAGTTGTAACAATTAATTGAAGGTATCGTAAAATTATAATTATACCAACAGACGTAGTAATGGAAATTTATATTATTTCATATGTTTATGTAAGCACAACATTTTTTTTTATGTATTTCAATTAACCTTTGTCGAGAAACTAAATTCATATGTAATGCCTGAATTATAAGAGCTTAAAGGGGAGGGGCTAGTACTACATGGCCTAAGGCGGCTGAGCCCGCAAATAATAAATTTTTGATCATCCATTTTGGGCCTAATAGGGATGATGACTGGGTAAAAAAAAATGCAATTCTATTTAGTCCGTCAGTCAGATAATAGAAAAATATTAGATACATATATTAACAAGAAATAGCTTAGATAACAGGCATTAAAGTTGAGGAGTGGGGGCTCGGTACGTCACAGTTGAGTAGAAAACGTACCCTAACGTGACGTCATGCGAAATTTCAACTCAATGTAACGCCGTAATTTTATGATTACGAAAAAAATAAAAAAATACGTGTTTAATATTTTTTAACACTATCTGACGGACAAACAAACAAAAATTAGTCATCATCCCTGTTGTCGAGTTTCAAAATCTATCGCAATCCCATTTTTGGGTATAGTGTTTGTGGTAGCAATGTATATAATAACGTAACGTTTAAAGTCGCGGTCGTTTACTGAACCTAAGTTGATTTGTATAATCGAGAAACATAATAAATAGTAATTAGTAATTCAAACCTCAGATAATCCAAATTAACATTACGTTCATTTAATATCTTTAAAAAAAGCGTCACTATCGTAATCGCTACATGTCAAATAGTTGTAGTGAACTTCGTGAATATTTATCAAATTGAAAGGAATTTCGATAGATTGCAAAATTACACAATTAAACAGTATGAATTTACCTTTATTAATTTTTAAGTTTATAACTTTTCTTACAGTATTATACGCCTAAGAATGCCGTGAAACCGCACAAGATGGTCCCACACACTTGCGGTCCACAATGTAAGAGGACCGATGTTCTAGCGTTAAAAGATCTGAGAACTTACAACCCGCTGGCGAAACCACTGCTCAGCGGATGGGAAAGGTATGTTCAAACTTATATGTTTACATCTATCTATATTTATTTAAAAATGAACGAGGAAGTAAATAAAAAAAAATAGTTCCCGAATTCAAACTAGATGTCGCTACGGTACATTCTTGATTTCTCCATGACAACCGGTTTTCTTTTGAGGTTAAAAGTAAATTAGTTTTCAAAACTCAATAAACAACTCATTTTCTTTTTGTACTTTTTCGTATTTGTATTGATATCTAAGGTTCGATCTTTTCAATTTACAGTTTTTTTAATATGTTAGTTAAAAGGAACGTAAATGACTGTCTTTTGTCCATTCGTTTCCTGCAGAAATCAACTTTTGCTAGAGTCGCCATCTAGTGGAGGTGCTTTTTTAGTGCTTTCGTTTTTTTTTAACATCATCAACATGCTTCATTTCTGATCAAATGCTCCGATTCGAATGATATTTTTTTTGTGTTCATTATTGTCAGGGCAAGGCAAATCAAAAATAAAAATAATATTTTGTCAAAATTATTTTTTATAATTAAATAGAAATAGTGTTTGACGGTATCTAACAGAAGACTTTGACGGATCTTCGACGAGACAATCTACTAATAGTTTATATTTACTCAGACGTTAAACTAACGATATTAGTTTAACATAAAAATAGAAAATACACAATAAGTAAGTACAAAAAGAGAGGGAGAAAATGAAAAATGACTTATCATCTTATCATTCACAGATTAAGGTCGATTTTCTTATTATTAGATTTTACAGAACATGCACACTGTATTTAAAAATACAGTATTGAACGTTGACTGTTTTTTAATTGAAACCAATGTCAAAGATATCGATATGATAGGGATCATGGCATTTTTTTAATCTGTCCGTCAAGTAGGTTATTGAAGAATATTGAACACTTTTTTTGCGTTATCGATAAAATACAGCGGTACATTGAGTTGAAATGTCACATTGATCTTTTAATCGATTCAAATCGATCCTAATCCGATCCTTTTTTCACAATTCTATGCTGTCTATAATTTAGATCAATGACGCCGTTGTTTTTCTAGTGTCGTTTACAGTCGCGTGGCTCATTGTTTTTTAAAATTCGTAATTTATTAATTACATTTAATATTTTTTTAGATTCTGTATCAATAAACCTTTGGGTTTAAATAACAAATATAATATTTTTGATTTGGGTGTAAGAAGGAAGTGAATCATTCATTTCCAATGGAGACAATATTAGAAAAAATATTTAGTTATTACATATGCTAGTTGCTTGCTATGTGGAATATACCCTATTAATTATCTTATTTTTCGGTCTCATAAAATTTAGTAATTTCTATTTCGTTTCGTAGACAAATAGTACGGTTCAAAGGTCAGAAGGAGGTGATGTATCGCGCTCCGTGCGGTCGGCGCGTGCGCAACATGCGCGAGTTGCACCGTTACCTGCGCGCCGTACAATCTGACATGGCGGTGGATTTGTTCGACTTCGCATCCACCACACACTGTCTCGCCGAATTCGTGCTAAACACATGTCTGGTTGGTAAAAAGGTGAGTCAAAATGGTATTAAGAAGTTGCGTAATACCAGGAAAGCGATAAGGAAATATTAGTATGGATAAGGTTTAGGAAAATACTATATAAAACATCGCTTACAAATTTGTGCTCGAAAAGCATCCAATGCTGATATATAGAAAGTAACTATACATGTCGACAATTAACTGCTTAAAATAAAATCATTCTTAATGTAGTTGTCTGAAGACTAAATTTAAATTGGAAGAAATTGTTAGGAATACGGAAGACTAGAGTAGTTCAATCAAAGTAAAAGTAGCAAATATGCAACAGTTATAGATAATAAAAGAGTAAATTATGTAAAGTGCTAATAAAGAAGGTAGGTTTTTTATTTTAGTTGGATTAATTTGTTATGTCAGAGGAAATTAAAAAAAAAAACATTTTCTTTTAGTAATAATAGTCAAACCGGGGGAGAACTTTCTCTATCTCTTATATAATGAGGGGTGATAAAAAATGATATAGGATGACGTGTTATTAACTTAGTTCTCACTAAGGAGACATCGAATCTGGCGCTTTAATATATATTAAACGTGAAAATGCGTTTTACCAATAACTAGGAGCCAACTAATAAAAATCATCAATGCCTTGTATTATACGGCGCTTAGCACTAGGCGTTTGTGTGTTGTGATAAAGATCATTAATTTGTCAAGGGGTAAAAATAGCAATTTGTTTATTTGGAATTAAATCTGCTTATGCAGGGTGGCGGTCAGAGGAGTATTCTAACTCCAAATTTAATGATATTACATATACATAAACAATGCTATTAATAAACAAGGTTTAGCGCAGAGTAAATTTTCGCTAAAATTACAATTTTAGTATTAGTCCAAATTCATATTATACAGAGAATAAGCTAAACTACCTCTTTCTAGGAGTAAATATTGCTCCCGTAGAACCTCTCTACCCTTAGGTTTTTGTAACGTCAATGAAACACAGAGGCTGGCAACTGACTAATTTATTGAATCTATATGATTACCCGCATACAATATTATTAAAGTACCCGACACCTTTTCACCTCACAAAAGTATACATTTAGCATAAAGTAACTTATATATTAAATATAATTAGTAATTTATTAAATCTTAACCGAAACATATATACTCAAGTAATCTCCTCTTAACTTAATAACAGTATGCAAAACAATCTGCAAGTCCTGTCCTCCTTTCCATTACCAATTTACGGCTATATTCAGACTAAATCAAACTGATCTAAATATGTAGTCAATATGGTTGAAACTTAAGTTGAATATGTTATGAAAAAAAAAATAACAAAAATAACTCACAAAAAAGACTGAAACTCCCTCTTAATCACCACATAGTTATAAATAATGACTTCATTAAAAAAAAAAACTATTTATTGTTCCTGTTTTGTGTTCGTCTGTAAGCACGAATTTCTCGTTCTGAAGCCTTTTCTGATGGGGGTGGCGTTGAGGAGTGACGAGGAGCAGATGTTGTTATATTCCTGTCAGTCCCCAACGTCCCGTCATCATCATGGGCATCCAGAAAATCATCTTCTTCAATTTTATTGCCTATGTTTTGAGTCCCGATACTCGCACGCAACAATGATAGACGCGATTTATTGTCACCGATCGGTAAAATCTGATCTAAATGTCTTCGCCACTCAGTCCCGTTTCCTAAACGAACGCGGCAGGATAAAGGTCCTGTATTTTTACTCACAGTGCCAACAGTCCATTTATTAGAACGAGAGGCATAATCACGCGCGAGTACCTGGTCACCTAACTGCAAAGGAGCCCTAGTTGTGCCTCCTGCATTCTCTGCCTGCCGCTGTTGGGCTGCCTGGGCAATTTGACCAACATCTGGTCGTAAAACATCCAATCGGGTGCGCATGCGGCGTCCCGTTAAGAGCACTGCCGGTGACGCACCTGTAGTTTCATGATTACAATTTCTATAATAGAACAGAAACTTATTTATTGACTGCGAAACATTTTCACCTAAAAAAGTAGCCCTTTTAATAGCTTTTTTTATGGTTTTTACGGCGTTCTCGGCAGCACCGTTGCTCTGTGGTCTATATGGTGCTGAGGTGATATGTTTAATACAATTGAATAAACAATAATTCTCAAATTCTTGGGAAAGAAACGGAGGCCCATTATCAGTGACTAATTGCGAAGGTAACCCGAATCTGCTAAAAATATATATTAAAGCGAAAATTGTCGACTTCGCATCGGTACGGGTCATGCCTACTACTTCAATCCATTTAGAATGAGCATTTACTACAATTAGATATTTCTTTTCATTGTATTCGGCAAAATCGGCATGCAATCGTTGCCATGGAAACAAAGGAAACTCCCAAGGATGTAACTCCGAGCGCGGTGGGGCATCTCGGACGGCATGGCAAGCCTCACACGACCGACATAAATCCACTAAATCCCGATCTAAGTTCGGCCAATACACATAATTCCGTGCTAAATTTTTCATTTTATTTACACCCAAATGTCCTTGGTGTAGTTCACCTAAAATTCGACGTTGTAAAGTTACCGGTATAATAATGCGATATTTATAGATTAAACAATCAAAATCCACTGTAATATCATTTTTTCGTCATCACATTTAGCCACTAGTGGCCACCCAAATTTAACATAACCAATTATTCTAGATAAAATACCATCTTTATAGGTTTCTTTCGCTATATCACGAAAGTTTACAGGCATACTTTCTTGTACTAAATGAATATAAGTCATCACTGAGTGAGCGGCGCCTCCCTCCCGTGTCAACGGTAGTCGCGACAGTGCGTCGGCCGGTTCATTCTGTTTTGAGTGAATGAACTTAATTGTGAAATCATAAGCGGCCAATCGTGCTGCCCATCGTTGTAGCCGACTGGCAGCCGTCTGTGGTATGCCTACACTTTTTCCAAAAATAAAACTTAATGGCTTATGATCGGTGCGCAACTCAAAATGTCGACCAAAAAGATATTGATGGTGCCTAGTAACCCCATAAAAAATAGCAAGTGCTTCTTTGTCGATTTGACTATAATTACGTTCCGCGTCATTAAGAGTGCGCGAAACAACTGATCGGGCGCTCGCTTCCATCGGAAAAGCGATGCGCCAGCACCGCGCCTATTCCATAGGCACTGCTGTCTTCTGATAATACTAAGGGCTGTCCCTCTTTGTAATGTGCTAATACTTTGTCACCCAATAAACTTTCTTTAGCCTCTTTGAAAGCTTTAGCACATTCGGACGACCAATTTCATATAATTCCTTTTTTTAACAGCTCATGTAATGGATGTAAAATTATACTCAGTCTGGGGATGAATTTACTGTAATAATTTAACAACCCTAAGAAACTTCTTAACTGCGTAATGTCTCTAGGAGCAGGTGCATCGACAATGGCCTCCACTTTTTTTGGATCAGGATGTAATCCATTCTGATCAACAATAAACCCCACATATTTCATACTTTTCTGTAAAAAGCTACACTTACTTAATTTGACAGTAAGGCCCATTTCCTTCAATCTATTTAAAACTTGTCTCAGATTATGCAAATGAGACATCCTATCAACCCCAGTTGTGCTCCAGCGCCAGAGCCAGTTCTACCGCCTCCCTATATTTGATGTTTCTCTTCGCGAATATTCTAGATCTCATCGCAGGGTTGGCTAATCCCGACACGAACTGATCCCGAATGTTTTCTTCCAACATAATACCGAAGTTGCATGTAGTGGCCAAATGCTTTAAATCTTGCAGATATTCCGTCATAGATTCTCCTACGCGTTGCCTTCGCAAGCGGAACACGTGGCGTTCTGCAATCTCGGAACGCTGTGGCTCTAAATGTTCCGTTACTAAACACACGAGTTCTTCAAATGTTCTATCTTCTGGGTTTGTAGGAGCACATAGATCGCACATTAATGAGTACGTGGTTTCACCCACCACAGTAATTAATAATGGCACCCGCAATTTGTCTTTCACTTCATTTAATGATATATTCTGTTGTACTCTACGAATATATGACGGCCACTGTTTAGTGAGCGCATCAAATGGTTCTAAACTCCCGATAGGCATAATGAGAAAAAAAAAACTTAATATTTAATATATTCGGTTCGCTAAATCCTCGTCGCCAATGTAACGTCAATGAAACACAGAGGCTGGCAACTGACTAATTTATTGAATCTTATATGATTACCCGCATACAATATTTTTAAAGTACCCGACAGTTTTACCTTAACTAAGTCTAAGTTTAATAATATGAATTTTGACTAATACTTAACCTTGTTTATAAATAACACTGTTAGTTTATCCAATGAATTTACCACGGGCCCTGTACAGCTACGCTTTCTAGTTTGTTAGGTGAATAAAAAATGTATTTATTTAATAAGTTAATACTTCTAGCTCAAATATACAATGGCGGATTTAGTTCCGTTGCCTTTTTCTTCCACCTTAGGATAATGTGGACACGAATTTATTGTTTGATGAACGGTTGGGTGGAAATATTGTAGGATGAGAAATGAAATGAAATGAAAATATCTTTATTCAAGTAGGCTACTACAAGCACTTTTGAATCGTCCAAAAAAAAATTTTTCCCCTACCACTAGTTCAGGACGTCTTTTAGCTGACAAGAAGAACAAGCGAAAGAAACTTACCAGCTTTTTATCATAAGTAATGACATTTACATAAATCATGTCATTACCAAAATAATATGTATTATCACAATAATATCAAAGTCTGTAGGACATAGGTTGAACATATAATTAGTCTTTATAGAACAAAGCGAAGGCTATTAATTCCATGCATTGCGGTCCTTAAAATAATCATCAACTTTATAATAGCCTTTACTCATAAGTATATTCTTTACATGAATTTGAAATTTATTTATGGGTAGGTCAATTACATTTTGTGGAACTTTGTTGATAGCAATACATTTACCCAGAAATGATCCTGTGGTTTTTTGAAGTCTGAAGCTTGGAACGGCAAGTTTATTTTTATTTCTTGTATTAAGATTATGAACACTACTTTTTTTGTGAAGGAATCGTAATGTTTTCTTGTGTACATAATATTCTCATAGATGTATTGAGAGGCAACAGTCAGAATATTTATTTCTTTAAATATTTCTCTGAGAGATTCCCTAGACCGTAAATTATATATAGCACGGACAGCTCTCTTTTGTAGAATAAAAATATCCTGAATGCTAGCCGCAGAACCCCACAACAATATACCATACGTCATTACAATATGAAAATAACTAAAATATACCAATCTTGCCGTTTCAACATTTGTCAAGAGTCTAATTTTCTTAACAGCAAAAGCTGCAGAATTCAGTCTACTTTACAAGCTATCAATATGAGGATCCCATTGCAGTCGGGAATCTAGTGTAATACCAAGGAACTTTGTCGATTCTACTAACTCAACTTTTTCACTATTTACATTTATAAGTGTACTAACATGCCTCACATTAGGTAATGCAAACTTTATGCATTTCGTTTTTTTTGAATTGTGCTTTAAATTATTATTATCAAACCACTGTAGAACATTGTCGAGAGCATTATTTACATCGTCAAAACAATCATTACCCCTCTCAACTTTAAACAGGTGTCATCTGCAAATAATACTGTCTCGCACAAATTCTTCGTATAGTGAGGAAGATCATTAATATAAATTAGAAAAAGCAATGGTCCTAATACCGATCCCTGAGGTACGCCTATAGTAACTGGTGCTCTACAGATTTCGCTTCATTAATTACTACTTTTTGAATTCTAGCAGAAAGCTATGACTTTATTAGATTAAGTGAATTTTTCGTCACACCATAATGCTCTAATTTCCTCAACAGTGTTTCATGACTAACGCAGTCGAATGCTTTTGATAGATCGCAAAAAATGCCAAAATCATCTTGTTCATTCTCCCAAGCATAATAGATATGCCTCAGAAGTGCAATTCCAGCGTCTGTGGTACATTTACCTCTGCTAAAGCCAAACTGATTTTGGTGAAGTAATTTATTTAATGAAAAGTGTGCAAGCAGTTGATTGTAAATAATTTTCTCAAATACTTTACTTAACGCTGGTAGTATAGAAATTGGTCTGAAATTACTGGGATCAGACTTGTCGCCTGCTTTGAAAAGTGAGATTATTTTACCATATTTTATTAAATCAGGAAAAGTTCCTTCATCAATGCACTTATTAAAAATAAAAGTTAATTGAGACGCTATAGATGGTATTATAGATTTGATAACATAAGTTTAAAAACTATAAGAAAGACTCTATTATATAAGTATAAGTACACATACAATATATTCATATATATGTATGTCGTCTAACAGGATTTATCGCATGGTAAAGAGAATGTCCCGGTACCTTGCGTCAACTACTATGACGAGTCGCTGCCGGAGTTTTGTTCGTATAATACGGAGCGGACGCCCACCGCCGGAGTGCCGCTCAATATTGATCCGGAATTCCTCTGCGGCTGCGACTGTACAGACGACTGCGAGGTAAACTAGTACACAAATACATAATCTAATCTGCTTTTCTTTACGAATATTACGAAGTTTTGTTTGTTTGCAACGAATAGGCTCCGAAAATACTGGAGCTAATAAAAAAAAATCTTTCATCTATGGGAAGCCACATCATATGCCGTGGACATAGTCTATGTTTTATGGCCGAAAAACAGCAAATAAAGGGAGGAAAATGGGAGTGGAATTTTATTTGGGGGAATTAAAACGTTACCACAGTAACCGTTGTTAACTATTCGATTTTTCATTGTAATTATATCCGTGTCATGATATGAATCGATATCCAAATAGTTCCCTAGGGACCACGCGGGCGAAGCCGCTGGCGGAAAGCTAGTAATTTATATGTTTATTGCAAAATTATGCACCAGCTTACAGAAAACTGGCACATACATAGAAATAAAAAATACAAATCAAACAAGTAATGTTATTAATATTGAATGATACAATAAATAAATGAAGTCAAATGATGTATGTAAATAACGTTAATACAAAATAATGTCAATTTAAAAAAAAAAACATAAATGTTATAGAAGTCAATTATTACTATAGTAATAAACTAGAAAGAGTTTGGGATTAAATTCCTCCCAGTCGCAGGCAACCCGAGATCTCATTTCGGCTCGGGGCTTGTGGATTTCTTTAAAGATAAAGTTATTTATCTGTGTAGGATTGTGGATGCAAAATTGATAAATATAATAATTAGATAATTGTGTTTTAATTTAGGAAAATACTATTATTTATATAAATATAGGCATAATTAGCTTATTTATGTCCCCAATGCACAGGCCTTACTTTGTAGATATAATCGAATAGGGAGAGTGATCTGCCATCAAGTGGGGTCCAGTGCGAATAAGCAATTTTTGCTAGGATGGGCGACCAAAGGGTTTTTTTATTTCGAGCTCTTCGCGTATCTCGGATGGCACGTTGAGTCATCAGTACGAGCCGCATCTGTGCTCGTTAACACCCACCAGTCCGCTTAGGGCCCGCGTGTTCCATTCTTCCCATCCGATTGGATTCCATCCATCTTAATACAATCTCAATGATTTGCATTTTAGTCCTAAAATCCAATATCATTCGTCAGTTCTGTTAGGTCCTGGGTAGCTCAACGGTTAGGGCAGTCGCCCAGATTGAGAAAGGTCATGGGTTTGAATCCCATCTCTCACGGTGCCAGGAACCAAGTGGAATTTTTAAGCATTTTGTATTAAGAATAGATAGTACAATGGCAAAATGCAAGTAGATAAGATTCTATTGAGATGAGTTTATTACGTAAACATTAGAAGAATTCGCCTGATAATGAATATTTATTTATTATGAATCGTCGTTACTGTAGGATAAAAGCAAGTGCGCATGTTGGCGGATGACGCTAGAGGGCGCTCGCACCATCGGCCTGAAGGGTAACAACGTCGGATACGTATACAAGCGGTTACCGGAACCTCTACCCTCTGGGATATATGAGTGTAATTCTAGGTGAGTCATTTTTTATATATATATGGCATAGACAAAGCGATTAACTGGGCATTATTATGTAATGCCGCGCATTATATAAAATGCAGAATATTACAAGGCCACGTTATAAAAATTATCAAATTGACGGGGCATTATTTATAATGCTCGTCGGTTATCAGGCAGAACAACAGAAATGAGGTTTTCTAGGGCACCAACCGCACATTGAACTGTTAATTCATAATTATTTTAAATTATGTTTCGCAATATCTCTAATATTGAAGTAAAAGTTAGTGTTTAACCAATCGCCATACCAATCGCGCGTACTCACTCATACCATTTCACCATACTTTCTACTACTATTATTTCACCATAGTATTAAAATAATTCTTAGAACTTAGAATGTTTAAATAAAATATTTAATTTTTATTATAATTGCCCACAAGTTACTTTTATTATAACTCTCTCATCAATAAGGTGTATTTCCCGTACAGGTTTTATTACATACGATATCTACGAATACTTTATAAATTCAATAGTATAATTGGCATAGTTTTGGAATAAGCAACCCTACTTCTTTTTTATATAATGAAATATGAATGTGGTGTAATTTATATGATATTTAATTAAAAGTGGAAACTATAGGTCACCTGATAGGTTAGAATTTTATGACGAGCGAAGCTTGATGAATTCCTTTTTTTTAATTAATAATGATTCTGCCATAGTATCCATTGCTGTCGGAGCTTTAGAAATTACAGACTGTTATGGCGGATGAAAAGAATATTATTTACTAATATGGCCGCGTTTCTTAGTTTATTTATATGCCTTACTTATTAATCATACCAGTGCGTAGGCAACGGTCTCAATATTTTCCATTAAATATTTAAATATTACTATTTATAGATGTAAATGCAAGCAGACTTGTTTGAACCGTGTCGCTCAACACCCTCTTCAACTTAAACTACAGGTCAGTATTATTGAATCATGCAAACATTGTTACTATAATTATAAAAATACGTTTTTACAATCACAAACGAAGAAAACTTTTGTTAAACTTCATATCATTCCAACACTTTACACTTTTTGTATAATCTTACATATGTTATAACGTGACGTCTGTCTGTCTATCTCTTAGAATGTATTTATCATAGCATGGCCGTAATAGGAACGTGCCAGGCTAACACATATAAATAGCACGATCATGGTGTGGAATAGTGAATTATGTCCTTTAAGCTCAAAAACTACTTAATGAAATTTTATATGGCTTTAATTTTGACTAAAAAGGATAATGATATTTCGAATACCATAATAATAATAATAAGTGCCTATCTAAATTTTTTAGTGATCGCAGAAGGTAAGTTAAATTAAGGTGATTGATTCCCATTCCAAACTTAGTTATGAGATGAAAAAGAGAATATTTTTTAGTAGTCAGGTATATAAGTTTAAATAGACAATATTCAGTTTACTTCACAAATATTTTCCTGAAAAATGTCTTATCCATATCATTCTTTCTATGAGTTTTTATGATATTATCATAAAAAGATTTATTTTAGTTACTTATAAGTAAGTTTTTCGATAACTGAAAATTATCAAATGCACAACAGTTTCGCTGGTTAGGCTTGTATGATCACAGATATGACATAATACGACAACGTATATTTAGTACTAATTCATGCACTTATAGCAATATAATAAATATATAAAAATTACTATATATATTTATCGTCCACAAGTAACCAAATAAACTCTATTTTAATTTATTTAAGATTAAATTTCTATTTTCATTAGGTGTTTAAAACATTGAATCGCGGTTGGGGAATACGCGCATTGAACGATGTACCGAAAGGATCCTTCCTATGCGTGTACGCTGGAAACCTGCTCACTGACGCCACAGCTAATATGGTAAGATTTTCGTTTATATGTACAAACAGCAGCTTTTGAACCTTACCATCATTGCATTAAGGTTTGAAATGAGGTGCAGAAATTCGTCATATTTAAATAGATTGGCATTCTGTTGGCTGCATCAGTAAGACTAATAGATTTGGAATTTATCTCACGTTCCTTTAGGTACTGGAGCTAGACATAATAATCTTGGTCACCCACCCTTTGACAGACCCTTGTATAAGTCGCTTAATTACCACAATGCAGATATAACGCCATATAATGAGATGCTCAGACGGACTTTGGAGCCAAAAGATGACCATATGGCGACCACGAACATCCAGCAGAAAACCAGGAAGACCAAAGGCAAGATGGGCCGATGATATTGTTCAAACAGCCGGCAAATCATGGATGCGTGAGACAACCTGCAAATCACGCTGGAGGGAGTTGGGGGAGGCATATGTCCAATACTGGACAGATAAATGCTGATAAAGAAGATATAACGCGATAATCAATGCGCCATCATCCAATGACTATAATAAGTATATGTTTTTTTTTGTGTATCAGGATGGTTTGAACGAAGGCGATGAATATTTAGCTGAGTTGGATTACATAGAGGTGGTGGAGCAAATGAAGGAAGGCTTCGAAGAGGACATACCAGAGATGGATAAGAGACTCGACAAAGTGAGTACTTACTTACAACATTACATCGGGCCCCTGTAAAATGTCAAATTTGTACAGACAATTTTGAACTTAACTGTCAACACTTTAAGGTTAAATTTCCGTTATATATTTATAGACTTTGAATAATTAATTATTATAGCATCAATTTAAAATAAATGCATTTTTTGAAATCTTCAAGGCCCTACTACTTCTAAAGTTACGTTATCCTTCTATTAATTTAAACATATTAATAGATTTTTTGCGTTGTTTAAAATTTTTCCTTAATTGAAGTTCGACAGTTACTCAATTTTTCTTCAGTTTGATTGATATTGAATTCAATCTAAATGCACTCAAAGTTCAAGACGTTGAGTGCATTCGATTCAATCCGTACACATTCTATCTAACAATACGGTATTGAATTATAAATGCATTTTGATTGAAACCGATGTCTAGGAAAATACCGTTTAAGTATTCGGCATTTCTCCCATTCTTAATGACCTTCTTTTCGATCCCGACGTATAGTTTTATGTTATTAATCGAACTCTTCGTATCTGTAGAAAAATATCGCGAAGCCGGACGAAGAAGATTCAGAAGAGATGTCCAGCTCGGAAGAAGAAGATACGACATGTGATGATAGAGAAGACGACGATTTCAGACCGGGAATCGGCATCGGACTGGGCGTTGCCGAATTCAGGTAACCGTTAAGATTTTGATTTAGAAAGTTTAACAGACTTGAGCATTGTCAATTATGATTGGTCGGTTAAGTAGGAGGTACATTTCTGCGTAACCGTATCATTAGTCGATAAAGATATCACTGGCAATGATAATGTCTTAAGATGAAAAAAAATGCTTTAAATATTTAAAAAACGATATAATACTAAAATAAACCAAGTTCAAAATAATATGGACATATTAATTGATAACCTCACCATGTAACAAGTGTCAAGTATACCTACCAAGGGGGAGGGGGGTGTAAAATGCTGAAAAAACATCACGTGATAAATGGACGGCCCCTTATTAACATTTTTTTTAAATGCCCAGCATATTTTGTCGTCAGGACAATGTGCAAATATTACAAGTCATCCATGTCATAAATACGAAAATGTCAATGAAAACATATGTATAAGTTTTAAGAATTTGTATGGAGTTTGCAGTTCTTGGTAGTTACCGCTAGGTGCGCTGTACATACTGAAATATTAACGCGCTCGCTCAAAAGAATTAATTGAACATAACAATTGACAATGTATCTTTTTAACAGCAAACGCCTTCGTAAACGCGAAAAGAAGAAACAGAAAGAAGATGCAGCCAAGGAGAAGGAAAAGGACGCAACGGCCAAAGAGGATGAAGATTGTATCACCATTAGCGATGACGAGGAAGGTGAGTTACAGCAGTTCGAGCCGACCAGCAAACAGACGTATTTGCTAACTCAAATGATAACCTTAAAGTCCTAATCGCCGTAAAAAGTTAACAACTCAAAAATGTCAACATAACTCACCACCGGTTTCTGAATTGAGAAAAGTACAAAATGTCAACTGATTAACCTTAATTACTTCTGTTTTTTTTTTACAAATTTTACCAAACTAATCATTAAAAAAATACAAGAAACGAAAACCTGTTTAAAGTGACGCTTAATATAGCTTAAGTAAGGTTTGAGACGTGCTTAACTTTAAATTCTCAATTCAGAAATCGGGCGTTATTCGTATTTTCTATCAATGGTTCGGAATTTTGCAATGACGCTTACAGCCAGTTGCACAAACTTCCATTAAAATTTCCATTAGTTTAAAGCGACATTACCTATACAAATTTGACATTCATTAGAGCTTAAAGACGTCATTGAAGCTTAATGAACGTTTGTGCAACTGACTGTTAGTGTTGTATCGATAAACTGTTATTTTGTATTCTGTAAGTATTTCTATATTCTCTGTTAGTTTATTATTTGCAGAAAAAAAATCCTATGACGTAATTTATATATGAGCTTTTAGTCTTAAGGTTATACAGATAATATTCTAATTCAAAACGCATTTTTTATTAGTTTTCGCAATGCTCGACTCCTGAAGAGGATAAATCTTCAATGTGTATGTTATTTACAGTTCGTGAACCTTCGAGTTTTATGGCTCAAGCTGGAATGGAATCTAATGAATTCAAATCTAAATACAGGTGAGCTATCTTACTCATGTGAAACATAATGAAATAAAATAAAAGTCAAAAAGTACAGTCAACATAGTTTATGCACACACACACACACATATACACACACACACACACACAGATACACACACACACACACACACACACGCATACACGCACGCAGAGTGTTTTTTATATGTAAATAATTTACTAATATAAAACGTTGTTTGTATCAGATCTGTCCGTTCGCACTTCGGAAAGGACGAGGCTTGTTATATTATGGACGCTAAAGTTCAAGGGAACATCGGACGATACCTCAATGTGAGTACACTATTACAAAACCCTGCACTTTTCATTCGCATTAGTCAGAAGTTGGAAATCGTTTCGATTTCATTTTATTATAATTATTAATGAAAAATGTAAAAAAAAAAAACCACTTTACCTCTAGCACTCTGAAATGGAACTCGAACCTATGACCATTCGCAATCCTAGCGACTGCTCTAATCACTAAACTACCCAGGACCTAACAGGGCTGACCATTCATTCAAGCTAATATTACTTTTTCCTTACTTTTTTCTTTTTTAGAGCGTATTTTCATCAATGTTCTGGCAATCCACTTGACAGCTGAAAGATATATTTAAACTTTCGATAAAGATGAAAATATATTCTAATTATTATATTTGACCAATTTTACATTCACAATGCTATACTGACAAATAATATTCTTAATGAAAAATGCTTAAACAAATGCTGTTGTGGTACCTTCGTTTTGTCAGATATTCCATGGGGGCTTTGGCTACTCAAAATCTGAGCAATGTGTGCTATGTTGTCTAATATTTATTTATTTACTAGCTTACCTGACGAACTTCTTGTATTATTAAGTAAATGTTAATATTTGCAGCGAGCATTCCGTCAATTCTTTGTCAATCGTCATAAGGTTACATTAAAAAAAAATATATTATCCAAAGCACTAAAGTGAGATTAGATTTTTATATAGAGGTTAAATTTTCTCAATTTTTTTATTTTCCACACAGTATTTAGATTTTTTTCTTTCATAAGAACTAACACAACTGTTAAATTACTAGTATAAGTAAAGTAAAGGTAATATAATACCTTTGAATTGTGTTTAAAAACTTCCCTTTGGAATTGCCAATTTTCATTCTATTTTGATTAATTTACAAAGTACCACAGTGTTTTCTTTGTTAGGCCACAATTCCAAGATTGTTCGTGGTCCTTCGAGCCGGATTAACGAGAATGGACTCATGCGCAAAAAAATAATTAGCGAAATCGGTCCAGACGTTCACGTGTGATGGCGTGAAAAAGAGAAATGGGGATTCATCTATTTATTTTTTCTTTTCAGCATTCTTGTTCACCAAATGTCTTCGTACAAAACGTGTTCGTTGACACGCACGATCCTCGTTTTCCGTGGGTGGCGTTTTTCGCGTTGTGCCACATCAAAGCAGGAACGGAACTGACGTGGAATTATAACTATGACGTCGGCTCCGTGCCCGGGAAAGTTCTATACTGCTACTGTGGCGCCCCCAACTGTAGAGGACGACTACTATAACTTAACAGTAGATCAACATGATTTAGAAGTTCCTTTAATCTTTTTTTGTTCATAATAATAGGGTATATTACGCAAAACTCTGCTTTAATGGCAGCATGTAGTAAACAAAAACATTTTTCGAAAATTTTGTCTTTTGAAAGTTAATGATTCCCTTCTTTCTTATATTCGAACTAGCTTTTGCCCGCGACTTCATCCGCGTGGTAAAGCTATTTTGAGCAGCATTTCTATCTAATATTTATTCATTATATCGTGTAAAATACCTGATATAAAGTTTCATCCCCTATTTTATCCCCTTGGGGATAAAATTGATCAAAATTCCTTCCTAGCGGATGCCTACGTCAGAACATCTACCTGCATGCCAAATTTCAGGCCGATCTGTCCAGTGGTTTGGGCTGTGCGTTGATAGATCACTATGTCAGTCACTCACCTTTGAGTTATATATATTTAGATATGCTGCAATGATTTATTATTGGATAAAATTATACACTTTCTAATTTAATTCTTACTTTGCTCAATATTAGGTACTTTACTCTTTGCTCACTACTCTGTGAATGTTTGACATTTAAAAAAAAGAAACTGTTTACTACATGTCCGATCTGGCCATAGGAAATTGCAGTAATACGTCCTGTTCTCGCAAAATTGGAATTGATTAGGTCCTCTAGCACATTCTGATTCATAGTTGCATCTTAGTTAAAATGTCATTGGAATAAAAAATAATTTATTTTATGTAAACTATAAAGGTTATTGTTGATAATACCCAATATATTCAAATAAGTTTCATCGTGTTCTTTATTGTTAAGAATAAAATAATCAATGTTATCTATGCCATAAACAATCAAAAGATGTGTAGTAGAGGAAAATCAACTTTATTTCATTTAAATAAGAAAGATTCTTTTATCACTGTATCTTATTGTACATGTAAAATACTTCGAAAATAATAATGCAACCAACAAAGTTGCGCTTACAAGATAATTCCGATAGTAATCTATAAATATGGGGCTAAAAATCCCCAACTAGTTTTAGTGATAAAATTGAATTAATAATGTTATAATAAATAGTCACGAATCTTGTAGTTCTAAAGGATAAATGTAGGTAATATTGATATGGGAAAAGACTTTGAATGTGAGAAAATGAAAATACTGATGTATGTAAATAATTTTGTGTTTTGAAATAAAAAATGTGTTTTATGATTATGATTTTGTTTATTGGTAAAGTGAGTAGTGACCTGCATCATCAATCTATAGTGTTCCCACTGTGGGAATAAAGACCTTACCTATGTGTGGGATCGAATAAGAAAAACGGTTTTGTATTACACTCATAAAGGTATGCGAAACATAAATCTGCCAGAACTGCCGAACTGCCAGAAACAAATCTGTTAGATCCCGATTTAAAATTAATCTTTATTTCGACCTCTAACGAAATGAATGATGAAAAAATTTTTGTACAAATAAGCTCATTTAAACAACTTTTGAATCTTAATGAGTAATAAAATGACACAAAATTAATATAAAACTAACAACCATCAGCCAGTTGCACAACGTCAATTAACATTGACATTAGTTTGGAGCGACATTACCCATACAAATTTCACATTAATTGGAGCTTAAAGGCGTCATTAATCCCTAACTTACGTTTGTGCACTTACCATAAGCATGATATAAATAGGAATGATTTGTTTGTTGCATCAGAATTGGCTCCGACATTATTGGACTGGTTTTTTAAAAGGGTATTTGAGTTTTTCGAAATCTATTTTAAATGATCGTTTAAAACATTATAAACACACTATCAATCTATTTTCGATGAAAATTTTGTGAAAAAAAATAATTAGGCAAAATAGTGCAAAAAAACACTCTTCTAATTATTGATGGCGCTGATTACGTGTATTCGTGACGTCACACGCCTGTAAATATGTAAATTTATTTATTTACTATATATCTAAGAAGTAAATAAATAGTATTACAGAAGAGATACTCTGGTTATGTTTATAAAACTGAGTTATATATTATAGGATAAATACAAATATTTCGTATCTCTAATAACACTTTTGACATGGCTGCTTCCTGTTTACGTGTGACGTCACATGCCGGTAAACAACCTGTTATTGGTTGCTACGACAACCAATTACAGAGCGTTATTGTCGTTCATTAAATTCCCAAAAAATGTTGCATTTTCTTTATGTTATTTTCCTAAAGCTAAACACATTTTGTCTGCAGATTTTAAGAAAGAAACTTTATTAGATAATGTAACAGGATGACTACAACATGCAACTCATTCTCAATAGTGTCATATATCCTATTCTTTCACCTACGTGAAACTACATTATAAACACGTAACATAAGGTATAATTAACGCGAGCGAAGTTGCGGGAAAACAGCTAGTTATTCAAATATTTTTTTTTTTTTTATAGATTTTTATTCAATAAAATAATTAATCTAACGATTAAAAGAGACTCCTTCATATTGAACACGTCGATAGCTTAATTCTTTATGTAGCAATCTCCAGTTTCTGTACAAAATTAGATATTGACTTTGCTTATATAAATCGCATGTGTGTCTAAAAATAACAAATCATTTGTTCTTCTTTACATACACAAAGTAAAGACTTGGTGACATAATACAATTTAATTTATTCTTAATTTTATTTTTATTTATTTATTTACTTAAAGACACAATTAACTAAATAAAAACAACTTTCAAATATACAACTAATACAGCTCTTGTGAAGAAAGTAAATTTCGTAATAGTTGCAAGTACAATTAGCAAGAATAAATCATTCATTCATTCACCAATCAGAATGATTCATAGCGCGTTATCACTTGACCCTCGCCGAGTCTAATTGAGGCGGAAATCTAATGAGTCGTATTTTAGATATTGAAACAAGACGCGTTACAATTTTCAATCGGTCTGCAGGCGCCATATTAGTCGTATAACTTGTACGAATTAACATGACACCTGAGGGCCATTATATTTATCATCGAATGAAAATCCGGAAAATCTAGAATCCAAGATTATCTGTACATATATTTTCGATCGCAATATCACCGAATTCGTTCGCTAACTCATGGCGATCGTTAGCTAGTTGAACGGCAAAGACTGTGCTTAAAGCATTTCATTTTTCCATTTTTTTTTTCTGTATAAAAATACAAAACAAATTGATTGATTATATGTGTCTTAGATATTCTATTCCTATGTCATTTCGAAACTCAGTTCACATATGTTATTAACTATTCAAGATTGAGCGCCTTGCGATCCTGTAAAAATCCTGACCAATTCGAATTCCGTCGTATATCCGAATTCACGTCATTTAATGTAGAAATTCTATTGATTCTATTTTTTGTATAATAATACAAAACAGAATTGATTGAATATACGAAACTCACTTCAGTTATGCCAGGCAACGTTATTACTTAAAGATTTAAGCGGACGTCACTTGTTGAAGTGAATTCGGAGTGAATTCGAGTTCTGGTTTGGATTTTTTACAGAATCGCAAGGCAAGTAGATAGTACAATAACAAAATACAAGCAGCCTAGATACTATTGAGATGCGTTTATAACGTAAACATTAGCAGAATTAGCCCGTCGGTGTAATGTTGATTCGTACGATATGTATTCAGTGTGTGACCGGCTACATTGGTCCTATAGTCCGGGCATTATGTACGCGACGTTGTGCAACGTCTCCCTGAGCAGCAGCGGCGGCGGGCCAATAGCGGGCAGCGCGTGGGCCACGCCCAGTAGTGGCCCGAGCGCGCACAGCAACGTGTCCAGTAGCACGGACACGGAGCCGGACACGGCTATCTGACCCTGTATACATATACATATTAACCCTGTATACATATACATACTAAGATTAGATAATAAGATGAGATAAAAGATACTATTGCATTTCCAGTTAATAGAAAAATATTTCGCGACCGATCGACATTGCTATAGGGATGGAGACAGCTATTTTATTTTTTTTTTTAAATGTTTAAATAAAGTATCATTCATATAATAAGTTCGAATCTAAAAGTAAATTTAATTTTCAAAATTTCCCGCGAAAACGCAAACTTATAATGCAAACTCTATAACCTATAACTAATATCGTTCTATGTATGCATAAGGTTTATTTCTCTAAGTTCTGATACGAGTAAGGGGGGCGTGACGTCACGCGTTGTTTGCGGTCACGTGACGACGAGTATATGTGTTTTTTTTTTCACAATTAATTAAAGCAATATTATAAACATAATAAGCATAACTAATATTAAACAGTACCAGAAAAAAATGAATATTTTTTTTCGTTTACTGTCTACATATTGTACCGTTTCGTACTCCTTAATTGCTAGTGAACCAATCAAGAGTGCGGAGCGGCACAATTGCAATGTCGATCGGTCTCGATTGTGTTCGAGAGTAAGGGGATAGATCATCGTATCATTATCACCAGCCCTTTTACGTCCCCACTGCAGGGGCTCAGGCCTCCCATTTGGATAGCTGAGGATGATGGGCCATGACCCTCCACTGTGATCCCATGCAGATTGGAATATATCAACGATCGCGGCTTAACGGCTTAACGTGATTTCCGAAGTACGGTGTAGCTTGAGATAACAATATTTTGATCACCCATTCCGTGACCAACCTTTGCGAAAGTTGCTTAACAACAAAAATCGCGAGTCATGGTGCTTAATTATTACGCTCAACATATAAAAACAAAAAAAAACCTTATTATTGGAGCGACTTTTTTGCGGTATGGTGCCATAGGCACCTTCTGTCGTAATAATGTAGCTAAAAACAATTGCCAACGCTAAATTATAGGTAGGGTGACAAAACATTCTCTTAAGGCGAGAATACAAAATTAGCACTTTTAAAACCGATTTTATTTCAAGGCTATGCTAATATTTGCCGAATGAAAATTTTATGAAAACTAAACATATTGATTGCTTGTTAAAAACAGAGATATAAATTTCAATAATTTACTCGATAAAAAAAAAAAACAAAAATGACTATAGCATTACTGTCAATGTTTTTATATCGTTTAATACATATTTGCATTGTCCTAATAAAACATATTGTAACTCACCTCGTGCTCCTTGAGTCTCTCCCCGATGATGGCGAGGCTTTCCCCCAGCAGTCTCAAGTGAGCCGCGATGTCGACGGCGCCGCATCCGGTCACGCGATAGACGCCCGCCCCGCCGGAACCCACAGGCTAAATACATACATAAACGTTAATAAATTATAACACATATTCGCCATGTGCGAAGTGAAAGGGATGAGGACTGGGTAAAAAAAAAATTATTTAGTCCGTCAGCACATAGAAAAATATTAGTTTCATATGTATACTTCAATTTAACAGGAAATAGCTTAGATAGCTGGCGGCGGATTAGCCACGTTGCAAAAGTAGCAAATGCTACGGGCCCCGCGCTTTTCGGGGCCCCGCGTTATTAGGTATTGATTCCGATTATTCGTTGTCGTAGTCACGAATGATATTTTGGGTGATTAGAAGCATGCCCATATTTTTTTTGAAAAGCCATATACCATAATGTAACTTTATTTTGTTGTTAGACCTCAAACAGTTGTATTGGCGGTTACTTTTACAATGAAAACTTACAAACCAAGAAAACTGTGTTTGTAAGAATTTTGTTTTATATCAATTATACACTTATTTAATCTCGAGGGGGGGCACAATAAATTTGCTACAGGCCACGCTCTGACTTTATCCGGCACTGATAACAGTCATTAAAGTTGAGTTGTGGGGGCTCGCTACGTCACAGTTTTGTAGAAAATGTACAAAGACGTGACATCAAGTGACATTTTAACTCAATGGATCGCCGTAATTTAATGAAGAGAATAAAGAAAATACGTGTTTAATATTTCACAACAATCTACTTGACGGATAAACAAACAAAATTCAGATCGTTATAATACTGGTAAATAAAATTTTCGGTCACCCATCCCATGACAGACCTTCACAAAGTCACTTAACATTGACAATCGCAGACCGACTAGTGTGTTAATTAATGCGCAGCAAATGTGTTACACTTACTACTAGCGCCTGTTGCGGGGGAGAGGCGGCTTGTTTTGCGGCGACGCGATTCCCGGGCGGTCTCCCCGGTCCCGGGTTTGGGGGGCGAATACCTACAACAAATAATATAATTCATCATCATCATCATCACCAGCCCTTTTACGTCCCCACTGCAGGGGCTTAGGCCCTCCCTAAGGATGGTTTAGGAAAAGGAGGACCCTCCACACTGGCCCAAAATAAAATAATTACTGTAACCTAATTGTTCAATTTTACAATCTATAGCAATACATTTTCAATTTTAAAAGATATTCACAAATTTCAAGCTAAAACTATTTGACATGTGACACGACATGAGCCATAGCGACGTTTATGGACAGATATTGAAAGAGTTATAACGTTAATTGTAATTGTCCAAGGAAAGCCTCATATGCAAATATCTTGAAAGCCATTAAGAAATATCTAATGAAAGAGTTGTATGCTAACTGGAATCTTTTAACAGATTTAGGTTTACCTCAATTATATTAACTTACTCGGGTTTGATATTATCTTGTTGGTTTGCTGTTGATTACGCATTGCGAACCTCTTTGCTTTACGCTTCCAAGAGTAACGTTCCATATAATTTACCTAAAAATAATAAGTATATAAATAAAATTTTACACATTATCATATATTATATCCCGTATAATCATTATATCTCATCAATCAGAAGTTATCAGTTTTAGCACAAAGTGATTGGGTTTGGTGGGACTAAAAGGGAAAAAAATATATTTGACCAATAAATGCCCGTTCAGAGAGCATAAAACTAAATTGTTTAACAAGAATGCCTTTGTCAAAACTATAATTAACGAATGCTTAAAATTGTGTATCAGTTAAAACCAGGATTCGTAATTACCAAGATAATATTTCTTTTAGATAATCTGATAAATATATGATAATTGTTCATAGTTACTGGCAATATTTTTTTAAATACAGAAAGATATTCATAATTAAATCTACTTTTATTTTTTTGTTTTTCTACTCCTATTCTATGTATTGTTAAATAAACAACACTTACATTTGCCCACATCTCACCCAGCCGTTTTGATATAGCAGAGAAGTCCATATCAGGGTGTTTGCGCAATATTTCGTTGCGTGCCTCTTTAGCCCACAACATGTAAGCTGTGACGCGGGTCTTTCCTAAAATATGTATTTTGATTTTTTAATATAACATTAGCATTAAAAGTTTGACAGTTGGTTATTTCATTAACGGTTCCAAATAACCATCAATTAATGGATGATGTCGATATTAACATGGATTATTGTGAAACTAAATGTGGTTAAACACATTTGTGTAGTGCTAAACCAGTTATCAGTTTAAATTTTTATGAAGTTTTTATGAAGGCAGACAACTATTATATATGAATCTATTTATTAAGATAAAAGGAATTAGGTGTCAAAGAAATAGTATTATAACTACATCACTTAAGCCAGTTATTAATGATTTACAAATATTATAACATTTGTAATTGCTTTAGTATTTTACCTTCTCTGCTAATTAAATACTTATTATTAAAATTGCAATAAATAGTATATTCGGTCATACACTGAGTACTGAATATTTGGCGAGCTACTTGATAGCTAAAAACAGCGTAGTTGTATGCCACTGATCATAACAAAACAAACTGTTGTAGTATATGACTATGCTGTCCCTTGGCCAGCAGTTTTTGAACTTATTTTTTTATTCTATATTACCTTTATCTTTCCTTTGAGCTTTAGCTCTACCAATGACACGGCCATCTTTTACAATTAATTTTTTCTTTGTACTTTTCTCCATCATGTAAAGGGAATGCGCAGGAGTCCGGGTTGATCCCTCATCTGATGCTGAACTATCAGACTCAATGCTGTAAATAAAAAAATTGCCTGAACTAACAACAATGTGGCTGCATAAGCAAAATAAGTAGTATCTCAAAAAATCAACAAAAAAATCTTTCAAATTTCTATAAAACAAGTTGGTCTGTCCATCAGGTAGATTATGGACAGAGTATAATATAGAGTACATTCTCTTAATGTATACACACTGAAAATGTTTGTATGTGAGCATGCCCTTGCAAATGCAATAAATTACAGCTGCACACTGTCTTGAATGTTGCATGATGTCAGAACTGTACACTTTTTACATAATGGTGACACAGAGAGCCCCCACTCCTCAACTTTAATGTCTATTATATAAGTCATTTCTTATTAAATCAAGCAAAAAAATAATATGTACTTAATATTTTCTTTTTACTCAAGCCTCATCCCTATTTCATCAAAATCTGTCATCATGATTGTCTTGCGACTAAATGAAGCTACACAAAAACTTTCAAATTTCCAGTCTTAATGTGAAACTGATAGAATATGATTCTAATCACATAACTATTAAAAGATAAATATCTTCTACTATCCTAATTGCCATGCCCGAAGGGATCTATGATGATACATTCCTTCTTTGTAACATCTTAGTTATACATAATGGAGTGCCATGAAAATTGAATTAAATAAAATTCAAATACCTGTCTTGATTATCTCCATTATTTTCATAGTAATCAGATTCGCTTCCAGAAGCCGTGCCAGCTTCTTCTACAGGCTTCGAGGCTTCCTGTATTGAGAAATCGGGAGTTTCCTCCTGGCGAAAACCCGATATAGCTTTAACGGGTGTTTGTCTACGAAATCTTGTTTCTATGTCATCAGGAGACTCAAAATCCATAAGCTTAGAGCTCTTCTTCCTAACTCTACCGCTACGCGAAATACCAGTGACTTCTAAATCTAAAATAAAAAGCGAATCTATTACGGGGAATTGTTATCTCTTACAAAAAAATACTATCACTAGTCACACATTACCGTCCTGCATGATGTTTTGCGTTTTATTAAATTTATTGTAAAACACTATTGCCAAAGAGCTAAGTTTAACACTATCACAGTACACTTTTACTCCAAAACACTATAATAACAACAATCAACCCCAAAAATGCAATACGCAATAAAAAAAATTGACACACTAAAAAGTAGTAGTGTTTTTATTAAAGGCAGAAGCATCTTACGCACACAGCTTCACTTCGGGTAATTTACAGAGGCTTTAATGTATCGAACTGGTCATAACTTAAGTTGTATCGAAGTTTTAAATAAGAGTTTTTTTTTTGTAGTCAAGTTTGAAGACGTTGTGCGAAAGCTAACGACAAAATAAAAATGTATTTTTGTATTTAGCGATTAACTCAATACAGATACTGTATAGACTACATCACTTTACCTTTCATTTAAAAATAACCGCAAACATTAATGTCACTGTTTCCAAAACATATGTCACTCAAATGTCATGCATGTCACTGTCAAAGTCTCGTCCCGGATGGGATTGATATCATTTGGATATCATTCCTGGATTAAAATGATAAATAACAGTTAATATTCCACCAAAAAAAGATACCCATAACATGAAATCATGGCCGATCGAATCCGACAGATTGCTCAGAAGCTAAGAGAAAGAATTCACATACCACAACTTCCTCAGATCAGTCCCAATGGTCGTGAAAAAGTCGACCAACTCTTATCAAAGTACGTGCCTGCACAGAAAGTGAGTGACATAGCGGAAAAGTTTAAACAAGAAGCCATATCCAGGAGGGTCCAAGAACTGGTGTCTAGATATGAGAAATTCACTGGTGTTGCTGAAATTATGGCTATTCAAAATACTGTAGTGGAAGCTCAGGTAATTCAACAACAAAACAGTTTTGTCCATTCGGAATTGAACTTTATGGTTTATGAATAGAGTTTAAAATGAATGCAAAAATATGACATTTTGTGGTAACTTGATGTGCTGATGATAGTACTAGATTCTGATAAATAAATCTTGTCATGAATTCAAGGTTGCAATATGCAATATATGTGTCGTCATTAATGCCATTCCTGTTGAATATGTATTGATACAAACTAAAATGTTATCTAAATCTACTTACCAAAATTTTGCTTGATTTACTAATATGTAATTCAAAACATTAATAAAGACCAGTGATTCCAAAACTATTTAAGGCAATAGTCCCTTTTTTTCCAAAAAGATAACCTCCCTTTAAAAATACTAAAATAATAGTCATTCATATAACAAATTGGTACCTAGTTTTAACAAAATTTATACAGAATTTTGAGTTTAAAACAAACTTGTTTTATAACAGGGATTAATTTTTTGACCTTATAGTCTTTCAAGGTCAGTTTTAGTTAATTTTAAGAAAAACTAATTTTGATATCAACCACTTTTCAAATCCCTGATATAGATTGTCTACCTAGTTTACTGAGGGACCAGATGCCTACCCTTTACCTTTCTCTGATTGTATTGAATAGGGGTGTAGACAACTTTGTTTTATATTCTTATTTTATAGATACATGAAATATATCTAAAAAAACATATTTAAAAAAGTATAATGCATATAATAAGTTCAAATCTAAAAATAAATTATCTTTGTATACTCGCTGTCACTCTAATAGATGTCTTACATATAATATAATTTATATAATAAAAAATTACAGGACCGGTTTATAGCAGCACAAGAACGTAGACGAGATCTTGGTCGTCAGGTGGCCAACTTAGAAGCTCGTCTAAAGGAACTTCATTCAGAGATACAGAGTACTATGAAAGGGGATGACAAGTATTTACAACTGTGTACTGAGGAACATAAAGTAGGTATACAATGTACTATTCATTAATTGTGCGCTGAATATCATGGTTTCACCGTATATCTTAATATTGAATAGTATTTCGTTAAATTTGCCAAACTTGATATTCAGCTGAATTATTCAGTTTCCCATTTCTATATTTTTATTTAGCCACATTGTTTCTTAGTGCTAATTGTAATATATCAAACGGTTTCGAAAGCGTAACCTGTATGAAGAATAAAACTTTAAATATCACTTATTTTAAAAGTTACTTATTCAAGAGTCTGCAAAGAAACTAATATATTTAGTTTTGATTACCTTTTATTTTCTGATCCCTATTATATTATTATAGTAACTATAGTTTATAAAATAAATATTTATTATTCGATATTACATGCTTTATTTTAATGAACACATTCTTCGTAGGATTTCTTTTGTAACAAATTTTCCATAAGAAGTTTTGTCTGTTGGTTTTATACCATGTCGTATGGCCAAGAAAATAGAAATACTCAAACCGAATATATTCAGCATCAAAAACGAATAATTCGGCCGAATACGAAAAGTGAAAAAGACGAATACCGAATACCAAACGAATATTCGGCGCATCTGTACTACTCATTAATATTTAAAAAAAAATATTGCAATAAATAATTATTATAATATTTTCATTACTAAAATAAAATAAATAACAGCATAGAAAATTATAAATCAGACTCACATTTCATCTACCTCCAAGGATGTAGTCAAAATTTGTGTCAGGGCTGTAACTTCATATCTTTCTTGCGAATGTAACTAGTTCTCATGTTTATTGGAATGTTTTGTCACGGCAATTGAAATTAAAGAATAAAATATGATTTTCATTTATTTAATATGCTTTATTGTCTATTCAGCTTATACTTCAAGAACGTTCACTTCGCGCTTCATTCGCTGACGCGGAGAGGGAGGAGCGTGAATTATTCGCTACCATGTCAGCAGCAGTCAAATTGGGACATGAACGGGAGAGGGCGCACGCTGAGCGGAACAAATACTGGTACATCGTTGCTTCTATATTCGGTGAGCACAAGACTTTTTTTTATGAAACGTATTTAGTGCCATTAAAGCTCTCAACGATGATAATCAATGAGATGAGAGAGATGTGATGATGTCTTTTTTTACTCATAAAAATATTATTCTGTCTAAAATAATCATACTGTATGTATGTTTAACTGATGAGATTTTAAAACTTTCTATCATATCAACAGCGCCATTATCATACAAATAGCATGACATTGACATTCAAGTATATGATTTATCAATGTGAAGTAGCCAGTTAAGGCTACATGCACACTAGTGATTATTGTCGTTGTGACTTATTGTTTCTGTCACTGTGCTGCACCTGTCTGTTCTATGGAAGAATAGGGTGATGTTGATGCCTGGGCAAAGAAAGATTCTATTTGACTAAATAGTCAGTCAGATAAAATGTATTTTTTTGCTTCAATTTAACAAGAAATGGCTTAGGTAATAGGGCATTAAAGTTGAGGAGTGGGGGCTCGTTATGTTACAACTATGTAGAAAATGTACGAAGGTGTATAAAATGACGTCATGTGACATTTCAACTCAATGTATTGCCGTAATTTATTATTTACGAGAAAAAATAAATTTTATCTCATTAATAGAATCTTTTTACGTAGCTTTGTTTCTCATTTTTTTCCAAAAATAGCCTCATAAAACATATAATATTTTGTACTAATATATAATCAGGGAGCTAAGTTCTATCAACTGTAAAAATGTCTGTACCTAATTTGTTAGTCTCCTATATATTAAGCATTTATACGGGGTCAGGAGCTCAATCCGAAATCAATTCAAGTACTTACGTAGTGTAAATTGAACCGTAAAGACGACGAACTATTAACTATAAATTATAATATGAGTGTAGATAACCCCTTTTATATTTTTATTTTATAGATATACGTGAAATATGTCTAAAAATGATATACATATAAAAAGTATCATTCAGATAATAAGTTAAAATCTAAAAATAAATTTATCAAAATTTCCCGCGATATGGCCAAAATCTGTCATGGCGTCGCTATGACGTCACGGCCCTTTGAAACTAATATCGTTTTATCATGTATAAGGTAAAATTCTGCTATGAGTAAAAGGGGCGTGACGTCACGCGCTGTTTTCTGTCACGTGACAATGAGCATAAAATATTTGTTTTTTCATAATTGATTTAAGCAATATTATAAATATAATAGGCATAAAAGTGTGATTATCGGTAATAGTATGTTAAACAGTACCAGAAAAAAAAAATGTATTTATTTTCGTTTACTGTGTACACCCGTATTGTAAATAATGTTTAGTTAAGTTTAAATAATTCTGTTTCGTTTTGATAATTCATCTCACTTTACTTTCATCATTCGATAATTACCGAATGTTGTTGCTTACGATGTCGGCTATTTAGTCTTGCAATTTTTTTTAATTCAAAGAAGTTTTTATTACCTCTGTAGAAGTGGCCTGTGCAAATTCTGTCAATGTTTTGCCATTGTACTGTCTACCTGAAGTTCAAATCAACACTAATATAAAGGAACAAAGGCTATATTTCATAAAGCTAAGAAAATGGGAATGAAATTTTGTATAGGGAATTAAAATGTTACCTTAGTAACCATTGTTTACTATTCAATTTGTCATTGTAATTATATTCATGCAATGATATGAATCGATATTCAAATAAACAGTTCTCTAGAAACCGCTTGGGCGTAGCCGGTGGCGGAATGCTAGTATTATTATAAATCTGTCACCATCTGAGGAAAGACATGGCTCAAATAATATTGGATTTCAGGTCGATCATACAATGCTAAAATGTGTATCCAACGGTCAGTGGCACAAACGTCAATTAAGTTTAATGACGCCTTTAAGTTCTAATGAATGTCAATATTGTATGGTTAATGACGCTTTAAAGTAATGAAAAATTTAATGGACGTTTGTGTAATGGCATACATGCTTACCCAGGAAGTGACTTAGACTCGTAGCTTTGAAAATTTTATAGCGACCAGGGAATTGTGTTTTAAAAACCTTCATATGATTGTGTTTGATATTCTTAGGTACTATACTCGGTATCGCTGGCTCGACCATAAACAATCACCTCAAGATGGCTGAGTTTCGTGATATGATGGAACAGCAAATGGCGCGAAGTGCGAGCGTCTTATACACGATTGCCGGGGGAGGTACAGCCAACAGAGCTGAGATCGCTGACGCTATGAAGACAGAATTTCAATACCAGGTACTTAGAAGTTACTAGACATTTTCCCGCGACCTTGACCGTCGTAAACCTATGCCTATGTCATACACGAATCTCAATCAAAGCTTTACGTAACGTGATAACATCTATATTTCAAGGGTAATTTGTATAAATAGTTAATAACTTGCTCTCTTCAACAAAGTCGAATTTCCCATGCTGTTTATAAAAATGGTACTTAGTAATTCGTCTTAATTAGAAATTTGATTGTTGAGATTACTATTAAATTATATTTTTTATTTATATTAACGACTCACTACGACTTCATTTACTTCAACTTCATTAATTAGTAGAAACTTGTTGAAAATCCGTTGGGTAGTTTTTGATTTATTGTTTAGACAGATGGGTCTTTGTTATATGGTATGTGATGATTAATGTAATACAATAAAAATATCAATGGCAGTTATATTATTACTTCTTTATAAATTTCACGAAACTAATCTTATCTTCTCAAAAATGAGATTTTTAACATTAGGCGGTGTACACACCGGTTACAATAATTTGTTAAATTACTGTAATTACCTAATAAACCTTACGATTTTTTTCCATTCATTGCAGACTCATGAAATCAATAGTGGGTTCTATTTAGTATTTTATGTATTACATGTTTTTATTGAAAATCGCAAAATTGTTTGATATTAAGTGGTTCACTAGTTATGTTTTTCACTATTGATCAATTGTATGTCATTTTGTTGCAGGAGCAATTAGCACAAAACCTGAAATTAATGCAAGATAACATCGATCATCTAGTCAATAAGCAAACTTCTTTAATCGGTAGTTATTTTTCATTAATTAGTTAGGTAGTTTATGACTGGTTACCGCGGTGGTAACCATTAGACCTTAGTTAAGAAATAATAAATATGTATAAAATCTTGCGTTACCGAGTGACTGACTGACTTACAGACAAAGTACAGCCGATACTGCTGAGCGTAGAAAGTTGAAATTTGGAATGTAGAGTCTTTAGGGAGAGCAGAGGATCACTAAGAGAGGATTTTTTTAAATTCCACCCGGAAGGGGCCAAAAGTTTGTATGAAACTTCGTTACCACAAGTGCTAGGTGTTTCAAATTTTGCATGCGGGTTCTTTTTAGGACGTAGTTGCTCACTCTTAATCACGACGTACGTGAATTTACGTAATTCGACCCCTAAGGGGGTAAATTAGGGGATGAAAGTTTTTATGGAATTTTCTCATTGCTAGACTTAAAACTACAGCACGCGGGCGAAGTCGCGGCCAAAAGCTCGTGATAGTATATATATTTTTTTACAGTAACTGATTAGTAATTATACAAAAACTAGTACAAGTTTGACCGTAAAAACTTGTATGAGATTTTTTTAAGATAAAAAAGCGTATTGATAAATCTTTATTGAATTGGAAGAAAATAATTTTATTAACTGCGTTATATGTTTCAGATCACATAAATCACCAAGAACAAAAAATTGAAAATCAGTTACGTGAACTCAAACGTATGGTCGTCGCCGCGTCTGCGACAAGCGCAAAATCCGACGCGGATCTGGGAAAAGCCTTATCTGTTATACATCACGATTTAGATGAAGCGGATAAGGAAAAAGATAAAGAGCACACGGAAAAAAAAGTCGCTCTAGATCCTAACCAAATACTTACCGGTATAGGTGTTCTTATGTGCGCCGCCGTCATATTTGGGAATATCATAGGCCGCATAAGTTGACTTCTTTGCCATAGAAAAAATTTTGTTTATGGACATCTTCAAAAATTTCGGGCTGTTGCAATGTTGCAAGCATTTTTCAAATGTGTGCATGTTCTGAAACACGATTAATGGTGACTGACTTAAAATATTTATGGTACAAGTAAAAAAGTATTTATTATCCATCATTTACTTAACGAATAATTATAATAATAAAATGGAACGACTGAATTATGATTCTTTTTTGGAAGTTTAATTAAAACATTATTTCACTAAAATTATTTGATAAACAAAAAATTAGGTCTGATTGGTTATTAAGATTGTTGATGCTTTCTAAGCGAAATGGTATTTTTTGAAAAGTGTTACTGATTGACTGGATTTTTCAAGATTTATCTTGGAGTGTCATTGTGATATAGTTTTATTAGTACCTACTTATAAGCTGTTCAAATCTCCAATAAGGTGTGAATGGAAACTTTTTATCCATTTGAGTTTTCGAATATTAAAAGAAATATATAAAGAGTATAACAGTGTATATTAAAACTATTAAATTATTGCTTGCCACTTATTTATAATTTTTTTAACTTCGTATTCTAATATTATTGAAAATGTCTGTAAGCCCTATAATTCCAATAGTGATTATGAAAATAACATAGAAAAAAAAAAACATTTGAATAAAAACAATGATTATTGCAAAATTGTATTTTATTTACAGTACAGTTTGTACAATCGATTATTTCCTTTTATTGTTAAAATATATTTGCTGTCATAATAGAAAAAAAAGACAATATAACGTTTTACATCGACTAATAAAACTTTCAGAATGTAATAAATTTTAATTCTAAATATACTTAACGCCGCTACAAAGTTATATCTTTTCACCCGTGGTCAGTTAAATGTATTATTATTATTATTTATTGTTTTAAGGGGCTATGCAGTTCCCTGAGGAACTAGTCACTGTGACCTAAAAGATCTATTGACACTCGCCGCCAGAGTTACAGTAACTCCATTATCCCGGTACACTCAAAAAAGTCTATGATATTCCTGGCTTTTAGAGATTTTATATCTTATGGGGTGATTATATGTCGTCCCAGATGTATGCTTCGTTTACATTCACACAGGAGATGTTTTGGTATTTCATACATTCTGTTTGCAATATCTGCAAATGTCAGTGTCACTTAGTTTCATGTTAAATATGTGTCTGTTTAATTTGCAGTGTCCAGACAAGGTTCGTACAATTGTACTTATATTTGTTCTGTTTAGCCTTAAGAGCTCTTCAGCTAGTTTTTGTGAAAGACCTTCAATTAGGGATTTAGCGCGATTTAATCCCGGCTGTTTTTGCCAGTATTTTTTGAATCCCTTTGCAGGTCATTCTTTAGAATTTGCATCATTGGTTTTTTGAGATACCACAAAAGGGCTCTGGTCCTATTCGTAGTCCCTGTGTTCCGGCCCTTGCTAATAAAAAAGTTCCTCAGAAATTGGTTTACTTAATTACTAAGATAATTACTTATGAAGACATAAACAAATAACCACATTGGGAATTAAATTACTAAAACCTTATTTAAATGACATCAAAGTTACAAACATTTAGACCTCAAGAATATATTATAGTACTGTGAGTGTAAAAGTGTTCAAATAGAAAATATGGACAGGTGAATTTTTGAAGCATATGTATTAAAAATATATATCAATCAGTGGCGTGCTAAGGGCGCCTTCGGTCCTGGGGGCCTCCAAATGGGCTGCCAGCCATTCGCCAAAATCATTATTATATATTAAAGTTAAAATGTTTTGGGGGTGAGACGGCTGGTGCAAACGTTATAACAAGTTTCTGCCCTGGATGGAAAAAGTTGTCAGTCCGGGCTTATTGCCTCCTTTGGCCTTCGATGAGGTTAGCCACCCACTGATATCAATATTATTATTAATGAATTTTGAATTGTGAATGCAAATTTTTATCAAAAATAATAAGTAACATAAATGCACAAAAATGTTGTTTTTTTAATTGGACGTAGTAACTCAAAAAGGATTCAACCCACAAATTGGTTGAAAATGAGTTAAGTATATCAAAATGTCCATCAGGATCGATACTTTCATATAGGAAAAAAGCTCTGAGCTGTATTAAATATTTGACGTTTTTTTCAATGGTAGTTATATACCATCCCACATCTTTGGTAGGTTCATATTTTAGTTCCACTAAAACGACTCAAGCTTCTTGGATCCATATAGTAAAATAGGAAATAAGCAAATTAAAGGCACTAATCTTGGTTAAAAATCACAATAAAGGTTCTAAAGGCTTGAATCATTTTTGTTAAAAGGTGTAGGATTTTAGACATTGAGAATACATTTGACATTAAAAATTAAAACAATAAATATAAAGAACCTTAAATAAATAGTTTTTCGATTAAATTTGGCGTTTCAGTTAATTATTCTATTATTTCTTCATTTGGATCGTTTTTGAGATTTGTTCTGAAGAATAAGGTAATTAAAACCTAAATATATCAAAAAGGATCTAAACATACTTTAACTTTTATATTTTAATATATATTGTTAGTTCTGTTAAAATAACATTATAATAAGATAATGTAAGTGGTTTTCTATACTATTAGATAAAAATATAATACATATAAATGTTACATCAATATGCAAATACAGCTTAAACTTCAATCGTTTATATCTCAAAAGTGACATTGTGTGGGATGGATCCTTTTTGATTATATACTTACGTCCAATTTAAGTAACTATCAGCCAGTTGCACAAACGTCCATGAAATTGTCATTAGTTTAAAGAATCATTACCCATACAAAATTGACATTCATTAGAGCTTAAAAACGTCATCAAACCTTAATGGACGTTTGTGCAACTCACCGTATGACGATTAGGACATCACCCTCATAATATCGAAAAGCTGATAAAGTGAATAAAAAGATCACAAGTTACGTCAATGCTAATGTCAAACGGTGAGATTAATTGTCGATAGTTTTCTCCAGCACATTAATGACCCCACTGTTCGGGTACAGGCCTTCACCATAGACGTAAGCGAATCGAATAGGGAGAATGGGTAATTATCCACCACGCGGGCCAAATCGGATTGGTGGGTGTTAACGACTGCAAATGCAACGGGTCCAGAATAGCTGTAGATTTTTAATTTTTGGTCACCCATCCATTGAGCGGTCATCGTGAAAGTTACCTACTTAATTTCCGTATGGAACTATAAACTGTACAAAATCACGTTTTCATTTATATCGGTAAACATCTCTTTTCCAGGAATAAATTTCAAAATCGAGTACCTATGAGCATTAATACATACTAAAGGTTTTAATAGCTTTCAATTCTTGACTGGCAGCTCAACCCTTGCAGATTAAGCTCAAGTTAATTATACATAATATTATTATATAGTAAGCAGTATTGCTGGTCTTATTGGCATATTTATTTACATTATAAAACTGTTATTCAAGGCACCTCAAGCAAGGTCATTTGTTGTATAATATTTTAATTAGTAACCCGATGCGTAAATCCTTCAATATGTATTAGAATTAAAAGTGCGTTGTGCGTTGCGTTGTGATTGCGTTTAGAATAATAAAATAATAGATAAATCATTGCATCGCGCGGCCCGGCTCTAATATATTAACGGAGGTTTACAGTTAATGTACCAGCATTCATAACTTATGTACTTTTTCATTTATTTCGGAGCCTATTTGTTACAAACAATTTTATTATAATAATTTATCAACATTATCTGCTAAAGACAGATGACTATGCACACATCGCCCATATTAGTAATACAAAGTTAAGTAAGATAATTTTTTATTACCAATGGACGCTCTTAAATAATAATATTTATCGTTAAAAATGCATTTTATCACATAAATATAATTTTTATGATATTTTCATAGGTCTTTTTTATAAAAACGTCATAAAACTTCTATTTAAAAAACTTTTTTCCTACAGAAACTTGATAGTGCGCCCCATCGGTATTTCATTTAGACACTTGAAAACACATCCGTCCCATCGTAGCCTAATGTAAAGGAATTTTAAATGACATTTCTGTGAAACACTTCTTCTTTTTTTATTTTATCATGATTTTAGCCCCCTAGATCCGACCCTGATATAACTTTAAACTTTGGTTTCGTTTATAAATGACCGGTCATGGTAACTATCACAGAACACAGAATTTACCGTGTTCTGTGGTAACTATGGCACCTGCCTCTAAGTAGAGAAGGACGAGCATTAGAACACACAGTGCATTGTGTTTGGAGTACATCGTGCTTGCCATAATGTCACACGGTATTAGATTAATGTCCCAAAACAGGCGAACAATTTATTTCGTAATAATTCGTTCACATAAATTTTTAAACGATGTAATTTAAAATACGAAATGCCATAAAACTCAAATAATGTAACTTTAATTTTTAAATAATAACATTTTTTTGATAAAGGACGACCTTTTTGGCCGAGTGGTGTCAAGGTGTCGCCCGTAGACAAAGTAACGTGTCGCCATATCCTTAGATCATAGACACTCGCCATATCTAAAAAATAATAGAAACTTATGGAAACAATTTAACTGAGATAAATAAATAAATATTTAACAACATCACATACATTGCTCAGATTCCAAGATGAGTAGCTAAAGCCCCGTATTGTGGAGTATTTGAGACAACGAAGGTACCACAACACCCAGACCCGAGTCAATATAGAAAAGTTCATTTCCTACATTGACCCGACCAGGAATCGAACCCGGGACCTCAGAGATGGCGACACCTTGAAACCTTGAAATCATGAGATTGTCAAATTTAATTGGTGTATGTCACGTTCAATAATATAATTTGACTAACTGTTTTATTGTGTTGTTTGTGTTTTATTTGAATAACTGTTTTAATTATAATTAAATCGGCAGTTGGGTAACAGACTGACGCATAGCGCTGACAGGTATACGAGTGATCCTATACCGGTTCCACCTTTCCTACTTTATGTTTACCACGGAAGGTACTCTAAAAATACCTACTTAGGACAAGTATATGAATAAATTTTTTAGGCGTCAATTTTACGCATTCAAGGTGAAAACGCAGTTTTGCTTTAGAGATAACACCACAATATTTTTTTTTCAAAAAAATACTCAAAAGAAACTTGTATCTAAATGAAGCCACTTCAATTAAGACTTCAAGGAAAAAGAAAGGTAAATAGCCAATTTATAATTTTCATGCACTAGGTATTCACAATTACTTTCTTACACAATATTGAGCCTCTGGACAGTATTCTCCAACATATAAGAAGAAAAGTATATATATGTTCAGTATTAGTATTAGTGTTCAGTATTAGTATTAGTGATAATATTTGAGTTTTTAGTGTCATACATAGTTAATGAATGTGCCAGTTTCCTTGGTTATTTTGTTATACCGTTCCCTACTTTTATGTATGACTTTATACAAACAAAGAATCCCTGTCCGGCAAGGAACGGGGGGCCAATTCTACTAAATAATCAAAATAATTTTTGTCGATTTAAACAAAATTTATTTAGTAGAATTGGCCCCCAGTAATGTCCTAATACGACGTGGAAACAGTTGTGGACCATCTTGCTAAATCTTTTCGTAAAGAAAAGCCTGGTTTCAGTTAAGTCTGAATAAAATTGGAAAAGGCATTGATTATTAAT